TCACTATGCCCCAAAACTATGCTGTGATCTTTTTGTTGCTGTTGAATGTGTATCTAGAAAATGTCTACTTATAGATAATTAAATTACTCTAAGGTGATAAAATTCTAGATCATTTTACATTTACTTGATATTGTACCAAATTCTGTTCTTGTAAAATTTAAATCTGCGTATAGATGCAACATCTAGTGCATCTATAAATGTCATCAACACCTTCTGCCCTCATGCAGCCCCATATCATGATGCTGCCACCTCCGTGCTTCACTGTCAGGACGATGCATCCACTGTGGTGGTCCTGGTCAGGTTCACACCAAACACCTGGACTCCATCTGAGCCCAACAACTTGATCTTCATCTGACCAGAGTATGTTCTTCAGCATCCATCAGGCTTCTGTTCATGGTATTTAGCAAAGTTTCATTTTGCAGTTTTGCTCTAAAGAGTTAGTGAGGGTGTTTTTCTTCTCCTCCGTCCACAGAGGTTGATGTTCTGAAGTGTCTGAGCTTCACACTAACTCTGGTCTCCATTGATAACCTCTGTGCCAAGTCTGAAGCAGCTGCCTTTGTCTGGTGTTCACAGCTCCATAGTGAAAGTAGTTGACTGTCTGTGCAGTCATTGCAGGAGGACGACCACTGCAGCCCTGATCAGAGCTACTATGGCTCCTTCTAGACCTCCTGATTACTGCTCACACTGTGGTTCACTGATGTTTAGTTGATCTTCCTGGATCCTTTTCCACCTTTGTGAAGTCTCACAGTCAGATTTTTCAGCTCCTCTGTTCAGCTCTTTTCCGTGTGGAGCCATGATGCAGACAGACACACACGTGGATTGACTTTTGCCTGTATTTTGCATGTAGTCTTTCTAAATTGTTTTTAATTGCTCATAAGATGAACTACTTGACTGTTCAACATAGGAACACGTGATTGAGGTGATGCGATGCAAAATGACGTTCAGCACAAAGTGACTCCACGTCGTCAGTCTTTTATCACTTTATTTATTTTTCTCATGACATGATAGAAACATTCTGCCAGCGAGGCGAAACTGGGAGATTCTCCGGTTTCTGAGATGCTACAGTCTGAAGTCATTCAAGTGCTGCGCCGGAAAAACACACGACGAGTAGACGAATCGTCCGCGACGGGACAAACGTACGAACCACAGAAAGCACGAAAAGTCGCAGCTAACGCGCGCTCACCCGCCACAAATCACGTCGCGTATCAAAATACAGTCTGAGCCAGTCGATTTGAAAATATGACAGTAAAAACTCGTTACATTCCCCCGACAGGGTGGCCTTCAGCAGGAGAGTACGTCAGCTACTACTGCCAGCTGCAGAGGGGAAAACAAAAGCTGTGGAGTTTATAAAATGTTCGACTGCAGCTTTCCTTTAACTTAATGTTTCATGTGCAAAATCACTCAGACACCACAGTTGAACGCCGGACGACGCCTGTCAGACTGTAAAACACTGAAATGCATTTTTACACGTCAGCCAACGAGAGCATCGTTCCCTCAGAAGCTTTTTTTTAGTTACGAGACTATAGAAAACACCGAACGAGGCCGTTTGGACGCTGAGAGGCGGCAGAGCTTCACCATGCACGACCTGATCCCGTCGTACGTCGTTAACGCTCGTCGAAGCTACATAGAAAAAATTAAGATAGAAAATTAGACATAAAGTTAAGCCCAAAATTATTCATACCCACGACAAAAAAGTGTCGATTTACGGTGAACTCTTAACTTCTTCTGCTTGGAAATGACACGAAAAAGTGAGAAAAGACAGTAAAACATGGCGCTGATGAGGAATTTTAACTATTCGTAGGTTTGTTTTTTTGCATTTTTGCAAAAATGCAACGCCCAAAATTATTCATACCCGCAAAAATGTGACAAAATATTGGAGAAAATACTGTTTCCAAATGATCCAGGTGATATCTAGCGCAATATAAACCAATGCAACGTCATTTCCGATCAGAAGAAACCCGCCGGCCAAATAAAAATTCACTGTAAATCTAAATTTTGCATGTGTGGGAATAATTTTGCTCTTAACTGTACAGTACGTCTGAGGTGTTTCCACAAGGTGACAGTCAGTTGATCTGCATATAGAAGTCATGGATCCTTGTTACACTTGCATGCAACATTTGCATTCTGGGATGAAGTAAGACAAGTGTAAAGGGAGAGCAGATTATTATTATTTTTTCTTTTTTTCAGGCAGACATTCTTAACCTGCTGTAAAGGTGTCGGACCGTCATCAGAATCCTGCATAGTCTAAAACCCCGTCAGCCACAATGTCCAGAGGAGAAAGTGAAAAAGAAAGAAAGAAACAAGCCAAAAAAAAGAGAGTTTTGATATTTTCAGGCCAAGTGCAAACGCATACAAATGGATCAAATATTACCGTCAGATCTGTAGAATCACATTAGAAGGAAAACTAGCGAGCGTTCAGTCGAAGGTCAGAGTTTGACGAGAATTCATCGTGGATGATTCTGCCTCAGTTCACCAAATTTAAAAAAAAAGTCTTATCGTCTTCAGTTTGGTGGATATTGATTATCTCGTGACAGTTTTTGAGTTAAACATTCTGAATGAAAGTCGGTATCTTTGCTCCAATCTGTGGATCAGTGTTTGAAGAACCATAACTGGAGAAATAATACATTCTGCAGGTTCATTGACATGCACATCTGGTCTTCAATGGTCCAGTCCTGCAGCGATAGAATAATACAAACCAGGTTTCGAGTCATTTTGTGCAGTTTTAAGTCCCTTTGGACAAATTTTTGAGGCATTTTGAATCATTCTTGACAGTTTTCAGTTTAGATGTTTTAAGACATGTTGGACACGTTTTGAGTCATTTTGGGCAATTTTGAACCCTTTTGGGCAGATTTTTAAATTCATTTTAGACATTTTTAAGATATTAAGGATCATTTTTAAGCAATTTTGGGAATGTTTTAAAGCACTTAAAAGAGTTTTAACTCATGTTGATTCCAGCCGTTTTTGGCTATTTTCAATCATTTTTGACAGTTTTCAATTCTTTTTTGATAGTTTTTAATTCACGTTCACGACATGTTTTAAGACATTTTGGACAAGTTTCGAGTCATTTTATGCAATTTTGAGTCCCTAAGGACAATTTTGAAGTCATTTTGGACACATTTAAAAGCAATTCAGACCATTTTAAACTAATGTAGGACAAGTTTCAAGTAATTTGTGGGCAGTTTTTTAGTTCTTTTCCACAATTTTCGAATCATTTTGGACAGGATTCTAGTCATTTAGGGCAATTTTGAATCTTTTTTTGATTCATTTTAGACATTTGTAAGACATTAAGGACAATTTTTAAGCCATTTTGGGAAAGTTTTAAAGCATGTGAAATACTTTTAACTCATGTTGGAAAGGGTTACAGGCATTTGTGGGCAATTTTTAATAATTTCTGACAGTTTTAACTTCATTTTAGACATGTTTTAAGACATTTTGGACATGTTTCAGGTAATTTTGTGCATTTTTATATCCTTAAGGACAGATTCTAAGTAATTTTGGGCAAGTTTTAAAGCATTTATAACAGTTCAAACTAATTTCGGACATGATTCCTGTAATTTTAGGGCAATTCTGAGTCCTTTTGTACGCATTTTGAGTCATTGTGGACACATTTAAAGCATTTCAGATTACTTTAAAATAATTTAGGACAAGTTTCAAGTCAGTCTTGATAGGTTTGGGTCCTTTTGGACAATTTTTGAGTCATTGCGGACAGGATTCCAGTCATTTTGTGCCATTTTGAGTCATGGTGGACAATGTTTTAATCATTGTAGATTAGTTTCAAAGCAACAGAATAGTTTTAAAATGATTTTAGACAGGTTTCAAGGTATTTGAGGTAATTTTGTGTCCTTTTGTACATTTTTTGAGCCATTTTAGACCCATTCCAAAGCATTTATGACAGTGTTTAACTCAAATAATGAAGCTAGAGTCCTAAAATTTTATAGGTTCACTGATACACAATACATTCATCTACAAACCAGTTATATGATTGTGAAAATTTTGTCCAAAAATGTCCACGATTTCTTCTATTCTGATAATCCACCAACTATAAAATCTTTTTAAAAAAATTCTGTTTGGCACCAATATGAGCTTTAAAAATGTAGAGTTTGGTGCCAGTCAGAGGTAAACTTTATGAGAAAAAAATTATTCTTTTTTGCATTTATGGCCAATATTTGAACATGTGTTGAGCAGGTGTGACAGGTGAGACCATTCCAAAAGGTCTAAAAGAAAAATCATGGTTTTCCAACTCATAGTGTTTCAAATAATTTACTGAAACTGACACCATAAGCAATTTGTCTTTTGGGTGAAGAGATTTTATGGTGGACAATCAGAATAGAAAAAACTTTATAAAACTGGCTTGTAGATCGATGTACACATCACTGAGCCTGCAAAACTTCACGACTCTAGTTACATGTATTTCTAGCTAAAATGCTTTGAAATGGGTCTAAAATGGCTTTAAAACTTACAAAATTGCCCAGAATTACTTGAAAACTGTCTAAAATGAGTTGAAAACTATTTGGGTGCTTTGAAACTTGTCAAAAATGAATCAAAAAAAGTCCAAATGGATCCAAACTCGTCCAAAATTGACTTGAAAATTATCCTAAAAGAGCTAAAAGTGGTCAGAAATGCTTTGAAACGTGTCCAAAATAATTCAAATATTGTACGAAAGGCTACAGAATTACCCAGAATTACTTGAAATTTGTCTGAAGTTAGTTAAAAACTATTTGAATGCCTTGAAACTTGTCAAAAATGACTCAAAAATTATCTAAAAGGACGCAAATCTGTCCAAACTGACTTGAAACTTGTTTAAAATTAGTTAAAAACTGCATTAATCCACTCTGAAAGCGTTATATAATATTGTTTTTAATTTGTTTTCGTCCATTATAACCTTGTTGGTAAAGAGTTCATCACATAGAAACAGTTTGTTGGGAATCAAAAGATGTGAAATTTGGTGAACTGAGGTGTCAAACTCTGACCTACGAATGAACCTGAGCCCACAGACCTGCTCACTTGCTCAGGTTTGTGGCTCTTGTCTGGATGGTGACCCTCCGAGGCGGCGGCTCCTCGATGCTCCGGTTGGCCACCAGGTCCTGCAGCTGCAGAGCGCCGCCGCCGATGAAGCAGAAGGCCGGGCACACCGGAGCCGAGCAGTCCACCAGCCCCTCCCAGAGGACGCGCAGCGAGTGGGCGTCGTAGAAGGCCACGCGGCCCTTGTCGCAGTCCAGGCACACCCCCAGCCGGGGCGGGAGGGGAGCCGTGTGCGGGTGAGGCAGGCCGCCGTGGCTGCTGCTGTGGGAGTGGACGCCCCCCTGGCTCTGGCTGTCGCTCTGGGGGTGTCCCGGAGGAAGCAGGATCTTCCCCATGCCCATGGTGAGGAAGCAGAACGGAGGGGAGTCCTGGCCGTCCTCGGCACCGCTGTCGTGGCCGCTGTCCGGGTCGCAGCTGGACCACAGAGTGGAAGAAAGAAACAGAAACAGTGGTGGGATTCAAATTCAGCTTTGTAAAATATATGAACAAAAGCAAAGAAGAACCTATAAACAAACATGAAATATAAGAATAAAATAAATGCACATTAGAAAAAGCACAGTATAAAAATCTGGGAATAAAAGGCGTATCAGGCTGAACAAGAGACAAAACGAAACAAAGCAGGAGTGTTATTTGTGTCCAAAGCACAAGTTTGAACACAGTCTGACTTGCAGATGTGGAAAAACAAATCAAATTTATTAATATAGCCCGTTTAAAACAACCTGAGTTGACCAAACAAGTGCACATGTAAGGATTTCCCTCAGGATGAATAAAGTTTTAGCTTATCTAACTTGCTTAATAACTTCAGTAAAACTCCACTGGTCAACCTTAAAAATGCTCTTCTACTCTCATCTGTCTGCTCCCCTGCAGTTTAACAAGCATTTTCCTTCCACAACCTGCTGCTCTTGTTTAAATGCATGTATGTTCCTTGTTTGTGTTCACATATTTGCTAATAAAACCGATTCTGAATTTCAGGAATTCTGTAATTTTGTAGTTAAAAACTGCATCCATATGAGCAACAACATAGTCAGACTTTGAGGCGATCCAGGTTTATTTAAGCTGCTAAAAAAAACTCAGAACTTACAGTAAAATGTCATTTTTGTACACGTAAAACTATCCTGACAGCTCTGATGGATCTCCGGAATCACGCAGAGAAGCTTAAATATGACTAATTCCACCGTATAAACCTGGAATGTGTTTAAAACAACATGGAATATTATTTACTGTCATCACCCTCAGTGTAGAGAAGCACCGGTTATTCCTGCTGCTGTGTGATGCTGCAGGTATTTATTAAAATACGACAAAAAAAAAAAAACACTATTAAAACATGGAAATAAAAAGTATTAGAGTGCTTTTTTTTATCAGGCTGAACAAGAGATAAAACTGAGCAAAGCAGGAAAATTATCTGTTTCCAAAACCACAATTTAAAACAAAAAAGAAACTCCACTTACACCAAATCAAGTCGAATTCATCCATAATTAGTAATAATTCCATTTAAAACAACCTGAGTTGACCGAAGTGCAAAACATCAGCACAGAATGAAACTAGAAAACGCAAGTTTTTAAAATGGAATAAAACACGTGAGATCAATTTCTAATCAAATAAATGCATAATAAATATATAATATAAAGACAATTACAAGCAGTCAAAAGCCATCGACAACGTGTACGTCTTGAGGTTTTTCTTGCTTCGGTTCTAATTAAATTCCACTTGGCTGGAGTTCCTGTCAGCTCTGCTCATTTATTTGGTTTTAACTTTACAGGCAGCATATTGACTGATTCAGAGCCAAAGGAGGCGACGAAAAACGCTAGGATGGCACCAAAACTAAAATATAACTTTATCAGTAGTTAACTGCATAAGTATGAGCAACAACAAAGTCAGACTTTAGGGGGATTCAGGTTTATTTAAGCTCATAACTGCTGCCCGATACTGTAATTAACACAGTGAAATGTCATTTCTGTGTGTGTGTGATGACAGGAATTGTGTTAGAAAAGTGTCCAGAGAAGCTGTAATATGGATACTTCCACCAGATTTACTGTCAGATCTTGTGCGCGTGGATCGTTTCTGCTGCTCTGTGATGCTGCAGGTGTTTGTTAAAACCAGATGGGCAGCAAACAGAACCTCAGTCGGTGTATTCATGTTTCCGCAACACATCGCATCCAGTGAAATCGGACAAACATCAGACGTGACTCTGACACAATTCTGAGTCACGGCGGTGTTTTGACCGACATGTCGACGCGTTATGTAACCCCACAGCCGTGGGCGGACTCAAGCCGAGGCTTGTCGAGCCGCCGGGTCACCTGGGCGACGATGTGGAAAGAGCAGAAACACCCGATGACTCCAGGAAGCATCACGGATGATGCGTCCGGGCGCATCGACGTGACGCGCTGCTTGTTGGAGGACGAGAGTTTGTTTGTGTGCGACTCTGCTGACTAAAGACACGTAAACTGAGGCTGCAGAGTTTTCATTCTGGAATAAACTCGTGAAGAGCAACGTAACTCCACGTTAAGTTCTCCTCTGTTGCATCAGATTGAACTTGTTTACTCTGTAATCCTGCACATTCTCAGGTTACTACCTTTATAATACCTTAGATTTCTTAAGTTTGCTTCCTTTTTATTTCGTAACACCTGTTGTTGAGACTTGTAACACTGGCTTTTATAAAGATTTCCTGCTTGTCAGTGGGATTATTCCATCTTCAGTCATCAGGGCGCATCTGCTCCATCATCTCTGACTTGCTGAAAACTTTTTTTTATCATAAACTATGGATATTTAAAACCCACCCAGCAGGTTTCTTCTCACATTGAAATTTGAAGCTGTTTGAACGACAACATCTGAGGAACTATTAAAGATTAAAAACCTGAACTCTTCACTGTTATTTCTCATCATGTCATTAATTCAGAATCTGTAATATCGGACACGTAGATTAAATAATCTCCAATTATAGGTGAGTTTAGGTGTGAAAAAACAATGAAGCTGTCATGAAAAGTCGCCTCTTTGAGCTCATATTGACAAAAAAAATTGAAAACGCAGAAGTCAGCTGGTGATATTTTCTAAACCACATGTAGCTGCAGGTCACAATAGCACAAAACTAGACATGTAGAATACTTTAATATGTAATATTTGGTCATAAATATAAAAAATAAAAAGTTATTTTTAATGAATTTTCATAAGTGACTGAGCAGGTTTAAAAAGTTGCACCACAAAAACAAAAATATCGGTAGACAGTCTGGTCCAAGTAGAGCAGAGGTCTGGAGTTTCACAATGATTCTCCAAATATATATTTAAAAAACTAAACATAACATAAAAAAACAGTGAAAATTTCAGGTTTCTATCTTTAATAGTTTCTGAGGTATTGTTGATCAAACAGTCTCATAATTTCAATGGGAGGAAAAAAAACCTGCTGAAAGTGGAAGTTATCTTGGAGAAGTATTATTGATATAAGTATTGATATATCAAGCTAAAATTGCACAAATATCTTTATAAATATCTATATTTTATGCTATATGTTGTCTTTTAATACATTACTGGAAAAATGTCCAACTTAAAACACTGTATTCGCAAAATGTTGGCACATAAAGTTCCAGTTTGTGTTTCACGAGTCGTTTTGTTTTACTGCTTTCTTTAACCCTCAGAACCCCAAAACTCATCTGCACATTTAAAAAGCATGTAGTCTTTGAAATCTATTCATCACAGTGAGAAAATTCAAACAGAAAGAATCGATAGTGATGCGTACAATGTTGTTCAACAGCCTCAAATTTCAATGTGTGAAAAACGGGCAGTTTTTAGAAATTATGTTAGAAGATATTTAATATATCAAGCTTGAATTTCACAAACATCTTTATAAATATCCATATTTTATGCTGTAAAAACATTTTTTGTTGTTGTAAAAAAGTAAATAAAGTTGTGTTCGAGGACCAGAAACCTCCAAGACCTGCAGGACGGATCCGAAGCTTTGGCACGGCACCCGCAAGTGTTTACTGTTGCTCCAGGGCTAAAAGTGTATAGCTGGGAAGGAATATAATTAAACCTTCCCTAACAAACAGTAATAAATTAGAAATAGCAGCAGATAAATCCATCGACAGAACTCATAAAACATGTTTTCTACTGTATGTTGTTGGGTATTTAGTCCGTCTTTAGGATCTCCTATAGTAATATTATATCAATGTTGTTTCCAGGGTTGTGACGGCGCCCCCAAGTGGACAAAAATATGTTACAAAATCAATTCATGCTGCTGAGGAAGTGACACTTCTGGCAGGACTCCTATAACCTTCTGCATAAGACCCCTGACGACAAACGTCCTTAAACCAACAGCAGATATGACAGCAGTTAATCCATTTGCATTTGTGCTTCGGTGCATTAAATTCGCTGGGAGTAAAGTCAATATTTAGAAGAGTGAGATGGAGTTACCGAGGGCTCGCCATGTCCTGGGGGAGATGGAACCACTCCTGCAGCTTCGCCTCCTGCCCGACTCCGACCTGCAAACCAGACGAAAACCAAGTCAGTGTCGTTGTTCTTACCAAACCAGCTTAACCCGCCAGATTCCGTCTCACCTTCACCAGGTAGGACCCGGGCTCCACTGAGCATGCCCAGTAGTGCCGGCCCTGAGTCACGGCCAAGTCGGCCACCAGCAGGTCGGAGGTCAAGTGGCAGGAGGTGAGAGCTCGGTCGGCGGCCTGCAGCAGGGAAAGGCCCGGCACGCTGCGGGCGTACGTTTGACCTCTACCCAGCGCCAAGCGGTCGGCGTGCAAACCCCAGCGAGAGTCCAGGGAGAAACTCAAGACTGGCAGGGAAAGGAAAAGTGGTAAAGAGGCGGCGAGGAAGGGGGAAGGTCAGACGAGAACACAGAATAAGAGGCAGGTCAGTAGAAGAGGTTGCAAAAAGTAGGAAGAAGTGGCTTCTACCAGGAAAAACAGGAAAGATAAACAGCGTGTAATAGTACATTTTGGATTAAATGTTACTTAAAGGGATGACTACGTAGAGCAACACCAAGAGAAACAATGGACACACACAGTAAGGAATTATTTGGAAGAGCAGAAAGACAGACCTGGTGCAAGAAAGACAGAGGCAGAGAGAGTATGACTGGGATGACGCTGGGATGCAGAGCGAAAAAAGGAAGGCTTTGTGCAGAAACTAAGACGGGTGGGGATGAAGGAAACCAAGGGATGGAGAGAAAAGAAATAACAAGATTAGTCGGTCAATCGAGAAATGGCAGTACGGGAAAAATGCAACTTAAAATATTGAATTCTGCATAAAATGTTGGCACAAAACCTTCTGAATCCTAAAACCGATCAACACATTTAAAAAACATGTCATTATTTTCAAAAATTACGCTACTTATCAGAACCAGAAACTGTAAAAACAAAACAAATTGCAGAATTTTCACCCTTCTGACAGTCCTTGAACTAACCATGTGTGATGTGCAGTTCCATTTTTAAAAAAAAATCTCTTTATTCTACATGTCTTGTTTAAAAATGTGTAAAAAATAAAGTATTTGCACAAAGCAGATTCTGTACAAAACTAAATTCTGTGTTCTGCAGCACAACCAGGAAGCTATGAGTGGGTCAGCTGCAAACAACAGTCATGTGACAAAAATTCAGAGACTGCTAGGCTGAACGAAAACAAATAAAACACCGTGGACAACTGGACAAATATTATATATGTTAATTTCAGGTTTTTTTTAAAATTTTGGTGAAACAACTATTCGAAGAAATTCAACTTTAGTTTTCTGTTTTTTATGATTTATGTCATTCTAACTGTGTCATCCTGCACAGAAGATATTCCTGAGTTCTCGCTCCTTTATTTAAAATAGTTTTTTCTCTTTCTATAGAGGTGCAGGACTTTATATTGCAGTGAAAAATGAGTTCACACTGAGTAAAAATGTGTCATCTGTATCAAAAATATTAAAATATTTCGTCTAACCTCAGTAATATAAATGAAAAAAGGACTATTTCTATTAAAATAATAAACCACAGCTTCAAGAATGACTCTAAAATAGTTCAAACAAAACCTGAATATTAAATTTGTCGCATTTATCATATCATAGAAGTCGTTTTTTTTTTTTTACATCTGTAAAATGTGACACACTGCATTGAATTGGAAATAAACACAAAACAAAGGGACACTTGCTGAGCCCCAAAATGTGTTTCAGAGGGTTAAATTCATAAACTCAGTGAAACTGAAGGAGCCTGTTTTCAGTTGCGAGATGACGAGTGTTTGCAGTGAACGAGCTGAGCTAGCCGATGCTCAAGTGTCTCACCGGGTGCGGGTGGCGTGTGCAGGTAAACCTCCTCGCTGTACTCCCCGAAGCCCGCCTTGTTGCAGCCTCGGACCCTGAGCACGTACACGCTGTCCATCTGCAGCCGGTCCACCACAGCGCTGGTTCCCTTCACCTCGTCCAGCCGCTGCCAGGCCACGGCGGCGTTGGGCGACCTGGTGCCGCCCCACGTGGCCGCAGCTCCTCCGGCCCGGCGCTGGTACTCCACGGAGAAGTGCCAAGCCGGGGCCGAGTCCTGAGGGAGGCGCCAGCACAGGAACAGCTGGTCGTAGGCGAGGGTCTTCTGGGTGTCGATGACCGGAGCCAGAGGGGCTAAAACCACAGAAATATACAGGTCACACTGCTGATTCATATGGTTCACGGTACAGAAACAAAGAATCTGACAACTATGGAGAGATGTTTTAACATTTAGAAGCTGAATTTGAATATCTGGAATTAAAGTTTAAAGCATCATTCGGACCAGTCAAACCAGAGAGGAGATGCTGGTGCTCACGTTAAAGATTCTCACTGAGTTATTCCACCTGAATTCAGCAAATTTTCTAAAAGGTTTACACCTAACCATCTCAGATTTTTTTTCTGTGCTGGATTGTAGATGAATGTAAACATGATAAAAGAGCATCATTTGTCATTAAAGAATGTGCAGATGTCAAATGTTCAGAAGAAACAACAAGATTATAAATATCTGCGACACACATCCAGTCTGGACTTTATTGCTCCAGAGAACCCACCTTGTATGAACTCCAAGCTATTGACGAGTTTGACCTCTTTGGATGCGTCCAGGTGGAAGTGTCTGAATGAGGGATCAGCAGCCAGCGTGAAACACTGCAGGTTCTCGATGGCCTTCACCAGCCTGCAGGGAGACAGAACCACAAACAGAACTGACTGACCGAACCGTTCCGCTCCCCTCCAGCCGAGGGCCGGTCCAACTGAAGCTACCTGCTGTGTGTCACCCGGGCGGCCTGGACGAAGCAGGGCGGGTCGGTCTCCTTGAGCAGCTCCTGGGTGTAGGCCATGAGGCCGGCGTGCTCCAGCAGGCCCTGCCTCTCGAACACCTGAGCCGACAGGGCCTCCTCCCTCCGGCTCCTGGAGCCCTCCAGGGCCAGGGCCAGCGTGCCCTGACGCTCGGCCACGGCGGCCCCCAGCTCTCGGATGCAGTGGGTCAGGTGCTGCAGAGCCACGGCGCTGTTAGCCTGCAGACAGGAGAACAGATCAAAGAATCAAGACAGACAGAAGTTTAACCATCACCAGCTGGAAAGTGTGCCGTCACACTGGAGCTTCAGGCCTCTAGAGGGCGCACTAGCACTACCGGCCCTCTGGGCTGTCGCTGTCATTAGTTAGACCCCAAAACCCGCCAGCAGGTTTAAATCAGGGGTGTCAAACTGATTCTATTTCAGGGGTCGGACCAGTAAAATCACAGCATAATAACCTAGTATGCCAAAAAAAAGCATTCTGAAAACATTCATGTGTAATGAACTATTTTTTTTTACAAAACCGTATGAACAACCTTAAAAATAAATGTATTTCAACGACGTTTATTATTTACACGTGTGCGTTACAACCTATGGATCACAGCGAATCTGCAAAAGCCCCAAAACGTTCAGTTAGTCAACAGGATTCTATTCTAAGATCAAAACAACTTGTCAAGATCTAGAAATCATTTTCAGTTTACATTCACTTCCACATCTGTGCAGTAATCCTAAGAAAAACAAACGCACTAACGAGCTATTTAGGAACACTCTGCAAAGTCATCCGTATGTTCGACACCCCTGTGTTAAAGGCACATTGGTGCTTTTCTTTTTTTAATGCCAAAATTACACAACAGAGACAAGAATTGTCCGATTTTCAACTTTACAACAATCCTCAAACTAATCATACGTGAAAATTATCCAAGATGTTTCATCAGAATCACTTTAGTCTACGCGTCTTTGCCAAAAATGACCCATTTGCACCAGATTGTGCAAAAAACAAACTATTCTGCAGTCCTTAGCGCAACTTATAAGAGACGAGCTTCAGACGAACTGCAGGCAGCGTCTCCACAGAGAGACTGAGAGGAAAAAAAGCAGCTGATGAGCAGAGTGGAGAGAAAAATGCAGAGTTTGTAAAAATCTGAATAGTTAAATATCTATAGTATGTCGTATTGGTTACACCCGTGGACACCACTTGATTCTAGTTTTTCTCAGTTTTCTTAAAGTAAATACTGAAAGAAATTCAATATTTTTATTTTTTTTATTATTTATGTCATTCTAACTGTGTCTTAGAAAACAGAAGACATTTTCTGAGTTCTCTCTCCTTCTTCATGGTTCTGTTTCCACTGAGGTGCAGGACTTTATGTTGCAGAGAAAAATGAACCCACATCTAGAACCTGCTTGGATTTCAGAGCACTAAAGCTCAACACGCCTTTAAAATGGCATTCAATGTCAGAATTAGAGCTTTTTGTAGGAAAATTCAAGCTTTAATTTCAACTTTGCTCATACAAACCACAACAGAGTGTTTATATCTCAGTGGTGGATGATTAGTTCCCAACAAAACCCTGCAGTAGATGCTCATATCAACACTGCTGCACAAGACACAGGGAGATGAGAAGAGCCAAACAGAAACGCTTCACCTCCATGTGTTTGATGGCGGCTTCCAGCTGACTGATCTGACTCTGTATCGTCTCCTGGTTGGCCAGAATGAAGTTCACCTCCTTGGTGATCTTGTCCTGGAGGACCAAAGAGAAACCAGACATTGCAAACACCTGCTAACGTCATGATGTTAACGTCTCTGGGAGAGAACACCGACCTTGAGGGCCTGGTAGGCCTGTGCTATGGGCAACACCTTGTGTCCGTGGTGGACTCGGCGTAGCTTACAGAGCGGACACAGCAGCCTCTGGCAGTTACGACAGTACCACTGCAGCCGCTCCTGCTCGTGATCCGTGCACGTTAGGACCTGGAGCACGAAGGGAGAGTACGGAGAACAGTGAATCAGTTCCAGATCACAACAGGAAACAAAGCAGTCAGCACAACATGAAGGCTGAGATTCAAGGCGTCACTACTAAACATCTGAACCCCAGAACCCACCTGCAGCCATCAAAGGCAGGTTCACTTTTAGAAAATCACCAAAATTACACCATTTATCAAAGAAAGATACCGTAAAACAGAAAGAATCATCAGATTTTCAGCTTCCCAACACTTCTTGAACTATCCAGCTGTTTAATCTGGAAAGTTGACCAATGAGGCATCAAAATCTATTTATTTCACATCTCTTTTTTTTTTTTTTTTTTAAATGGCCAAAATCAGCCGTTTGTTTCAACCAGATTCCTTACAAAACTAATATTTTTTGCTCTCTTTGGTGCAACAAGGAACCCACGAGTGACTCAGCTGTGAGCAACAGTCAGGTGACAAAAATTCAGAGAGTTTTCAGAAAGTTTCCAAAAAAGCTTGTAGGAGACACGTCTAGAAACAAATTAAAAATGTAAATTAGAAAAAATATCTCTAGTAGCTGTAGTCAATACTGTATTTGTTTTCTTTTCCAGAATAGTGATATTTGAGGAAACTTGTTCGACTTATAGATTCCACATTTTAACATTTTTGTGACATAAATAACAAATAACAAAATCTAAAACTTTTGTTGTTGTTTTTTGATACAAAAAAAAAGTTAGATTCTGTTTTTTTTCTTAACTAAATAAAAAAAAAAAAAAAAGAAAGAAATTCAATGTTTTACTTTTAAAAAATATATATTTATGGCATAATAGTGACACACTGCACTTGATAACTTAGTATTATTATTATCATTTTATTTTATTTTTATTTTTATTTACTTAAATGAGTAAAAATATGACAAAAAAAAAATGTTTGGAGCTCAGATGCCATCACGTCTGACTCGGGGACTAACTGTCACACAACCATGCATTTAACATTGTTGACAGTTTGCTTTAAATCTACTACGATGCAAGTATTAAACTGACTTTGTCTTTTTAAATAGGGCACAAATGAAACTACTATATCGTTACACATCTTTTCTAAATCGATCAGGTCTAGATGACTTTATAATGGAAGAGACGCTTCTTGTTTATCACGTGCATAACAGCAGTCCCACCTTCGGCCTGAAGTTGTTGGTGGGCAGGATGTGTTCATGCTGAGCCCGAGGCGTCCCCCAGGGGTGGTACAGTTTGAAGCACTCGTTGCAGAAGTTGGACTTGCAGTCGGCGCAGCCCTTGGTGGCCTCCAGGGACTGAGGCGGCTTACAGAAGCCGCACATGATGGCGACGCTGCCCAGGCTGACCGTGTGCCGGTACCTGAAGACACGGAGGTGCAGGGAGAGATAACTCTGCAGCAGAAACTTAAGGAGAGGGAGCTCGAGTGACCTGCTCTCTTTTCTGTAGTTAGAACTCGTCACCGGCCTGACCTGAAAACATCACCAGCAGCTGCCTGGTTAGTGCAGGAAAACATGCACCGTCACACTTCCGAAGCAGCTGCACTCATCAACCTGCCTTTTCCCATAAAACTCATCCTCACTCGTTTAAATACAGCTCCTGTGTTTGAGCTGATAACAGAACAGGAGAAGCCTGGCCAGGATTTCAACTTCCAGAACCACAATTATTTCTTCACTTACTTCAGAAATGACCCAAAAATGAAACTGAGTGCAAATATCACTGCTGATTGTACTTTTTTCTGCTGCTAATTCATTAACCTGCTGATTATTTTCTCCAAGAATGAGTCAATTAATGTCAAAAATGAGTGAAAAAGGCCCCAAACTGAAACACAAACCGTCACATGAGACAAAGAAAAGCCGAAAAATCTCACATTTAAAACCTCAAATCAGAAATCCATCATCAGAATAGTTGCACATGCATTTTTTCAATTCAAATGCTAACCAGGAGCTTAAACCTGAGCTTGTCTTTATGTTCAAATAACTTTAGTTAAACCAAAAAAGACAAAACAATAGCATTGATGTGACGCAGTGGGCTGCAGATGTTGAGCTGTCCCTGCAGTCTGACACTCGGTCTTGGATCAGGCGTAAAGGAAGGATTCATTATTGAAAAGCCTTCCAGCAAATGATTTTCTGTCTCGTTTTTAAAGCAGTATTGACTTAACTCTTCACTGGCTGCATTTCCGTTATTGCCTGCAGGTTTGAGGTTAAAGGGTTTGTCCGTGATCTCAGATTTTTCTTTGCTAATAAGCTGATGAGGATGTGAGACAGCAGCGTCAGCTCTTAGTGGTACCTCTCCACGATGCGCTCCAGGGTGAGGTTGCGGAGGCAGTCGCTCAGGCCTTTCTCTCCGAGCTCCACGTCCTGCCGGCAGGTCGGACAGGGGAACAGCATGAGGGGAGGAGCCGCCTCCCGTCGCCTTCGCCCCGGATACGTCCCGCATACTGGGGGGAGGATAGAGGAGGAGGACAAAGACATGAGACATACAGCAGGACATCTGTACAGACACAACTGTGAAGCCATAATGTAGAAAAAAAAGTGCAAAAAACTCTTGAATATTGTTGTAGTTTTAGTAGATTTTAAGGAAAATGTTGTGATGTTGCAACGCTGGTGTTTATGTTGCCCTATAACCTCATATAAATCATGAATAATAATCACAAAACAGGTGCATTTTCATGAATACTTAAATGTATTTAACCTCTGAACCGTCTATAGAGGGTTTGAAAGGTATTTGGTTTTAAAAAAAATTAACTAATTAAAGTAAGATAAAAGCACCTTAACGACAGCAGTCAGGTGCTTTCATTTTATTTATTTTTTTTTTTTTCCAAACATAAATAAAATCAAATCACCTAAATGAAACCATTTTTCAGAGTCAGAGACTGTAAACTGCTCTGGTCTATAAGAGGAAGAAGCATCTGATTTTTAGCTTTTACTTTATCTAACTTGTCTCTCTTTTATTTTATTATAATGCCATAAATTTACCATTTGCTCAAACAAGATTCTCTAAAAAGCAAAAAATTCTGCGCTCCTCGGCACAACTGTTAAAAAAAACCTACATTTTTTAGAGTATAAAACTTTAAAAACATAAAGGATCATCAGGTTTTTAACTTTCCAACTCTTCTTGATCTTTTCATCTATGATTTTTTGTTGAGACAATAAATCAAACTTGAACTTAAAATTGTCATATTTAACCACATTTTTTTTTTTTTTTTTTTTGCTTTAGCATATTTGCATGAGTGGATAAGTGGTTCCTTTTCACTGCTGGAGCTTACTAATGTGTGCCTGCTTTTTTTAAAGATGCCAAATTTGCTCTAACAAGATTCCTAAAAAAAAAAATAAAAAATTCTGTGCTCCTCGGCACAACAGTGAAGCTATCAGTCACTCATCTGCAACAAACGGTCTCATAACAATAATTCTGGGACTTTTCGGTTGAACTGCAGGTAGTGGAGAGCAGAGAGGAGGCGGAAGCAAATGAAAAATGTAAATAACAAAATATCTTTAGTATGTAGAGTCATCTGGGTTTTTTTTCCCCCAGTAAAAAAAAAATGTGAGCACTTGTGGAAAAATGTACAGTTTTTTTTTATTTCTTGTAAATTTCTTTTTTATGGTTTGGATATAATTGTATTCATTGAAAATTGATATTAAGATTTCATATTAAATCACTCTGATCTTTGAATCACAGTTTGCCCACCGTAGTGCTGGTGGTACTTCAGTTTCTCAGTTAAATACTTTCAATGCAGTTTACAGGGCAGAACATCTTTAGTAATTGCGGTTTTCAAACAACTGTTGCGATTCGCTTTTCAATAATTTAAAGTCCAGCTTCGGTTAAATATTCACTGTGTAAAAGATTTAAAACATGTCCAGGAGCACTGACACGTGAGACACCGTCAAAAATGTCACACAAGGAGGATTTATAAAAGTAACCGACACAGCAGCTTAACAAAGTGAGAAGGAATAGAGACTCTGGTTTGTCTCCACATGAGCACAATGACAGATAAAGGTCGTTCCTGTGTGGAGCTGAGACGCTCCCTGAAACACACACCTGCTCCACAGATGTCTATGACCTGAGCTCCACATGCGCGTTAATAAGTCATGGGATGATGCACGGAGCTCTGCAGGACGCTGATGTGTCAGCTGCATCATCCGTGTCACCGAGAGGACGCCGACGTCACGTCACGCCATCGTCTCTGCATCGCATTAAAGCGTGACATCGCTCAGCGGTCGCTCGGACGCCGAGGTCGCTCCGTCCTCCTCCCACATGTGAGCTAACTGAGCTGCCATGAGTGGTCGATTTTAACTCAAAATATGCCAAATATGAATAAACTAAAGGAGTGTTAATAGAGTGTCATGTTGGATGGATTGTGTTATTCTAAATTTTGAAACAAATTTTACTGTAAATCTCAAATATTAGTTCAAATATCAGTTATTATATTTGTCTATACAGCATATATAATAAGCATATTTTTATGAATACTTAAATGTATTTAACCTCTGAAACCCCAAAACCCTCTAGAAGGCTTGAAAGGCACTTTGTTTTTAAAAAATAAATAAGGAATAAATCACCTACATGACATTACTGATCAGAACCAAAAGACTGTAACCTGCTCTGAATCGTCTGATTTCAACTTTCACTTTATTCTATATGTGATGCTTGAAAAAATTGCAAAAAAAATAAACCATTTGCTGTAACAAGATTCTATTAAAAACAAAAAATTCTGCACTCTTCAGCACAACAGTGAAGCCAAGCCTGATTTAATGGTGACAAAATGTCATGTGACAAAAATTCTGGGATATTCTGAGCCCCAAAACAAATCGTTGGGTTTAAAAGGCAAGTTATCTTTAAAAAATCACCCACATTATCAGAGGAAGAAACTGTAAAAAACAGAAATACTTATCAGCTGTTTAACTTTCCAGTTTTAAGCTTTAAATTTGGATCTTTTTTCCCCTCAAAGTCACTTGTCTGATTTAAAAATATGCCAAAAATTAACCATTACCTCTAATAATATTCTGTAAAAAACTAAAAATTCTGTGCTCCTGAACAAAACAGTGAAGTCATGACCGACTCAACAATGACTAACTGTCATGTGACAAAAACTCTGGGACCTTCTGAACCCTAAAACCTAAAAAAGGCAGGTCTTTTTTTAAAAATCATGACATTATCAGAGTAAGAAACTGTAAAAACAGAAGGAATCATCAGATTTTCAACATCCCAGCAGTCTCTAAATTAATTAAGTGTGATGTATTCTGTATGTTCAGTCAGAAAACCTAACCAGATCCAAGCTTTAAATTGGGATAAAAAAAAATAAATAAATAAAATCTAAATCACTTGTCTGATTTAAAAAAAAAAATAAAGCTTTAGATGTAATAATAGTCTATAAAAAACAAAAAATTCTGCACTCCTGAACAAAACAGTGGAACCATGAGTGACTCAGCGATGACTAACTGTTATGTGACAAAAATTGTGAGACCTTCTGAACCTTAAAACCTAAAGAAGACAGGATATCTTTAAAAAGTCACGACAGTATCAGAGTGAGAAACTGTAAAAGCAGAAGAAATCATCCGATTTTCCAGCCATGAACACATGCACTGACAACACATGCACACACTGGCACTCCACCTGTTCTGAGGACTCTCTCCAGCCGGTCGGGGGTCCTGGGCGGAGGCCTGCGTCCCTGCCGCGGGGAGCGGGTGTTGGGCGTGGAGGCCGGAGAGTTGGGCTCCGGCGGGAGGTCCGGAGGAGGGTAGCCTCTCTGAACCAGCACCTCGGCTGCACACAGCAGACAGACGCTGTGCTGGCAGGGCAGCAGGACGGGCTGCTTCACCATCTCGTCGCACACCGGACAGTGCAGCTCCTGCTCCATGCTCTTCATGTTCGACTGCAGACAAACGGGAGGAAATAAAGGCTGAGTCATGGGAACGAATAAGGAACCCACCGCTCTGTGTGTTCTGCACCTCCGGACACCTGAATAAATGTATACGTGGTGTGTAGGAGTCGTGAGCGAGGAGAGGAGAGCAACGCCGGTTTTGTAGGATGATGCTGGATTTACAGAACTCAGAGAGGGCAAATGTGGAGGAAAAAATATCTCTGTCTGACTGGGATCCATATCAGCCAGTCTCCCCACACTGCAGTTATGATACAGGTTCTCTTCTATAGTTTTGAATTGCATGAAAATTAAAAATAAAAATATACTGTGAATCTACACATATTCTGTAAAATCACATGAAAAATTGTAACTGTAAATAACCATAACATTTCTTTCTTTTTTTTTTTTTTAAAGAAAAAAGATTTAAATAACAAGCCACATTTGTAAAGGTATCATAATTTCACAAATAATTAATTCATTTAATAAATGAAACTGCTGGATTTAGGTTCAATGCTTTGAATATATTTAGAAAATCAGATAAACTTGGTGACAGTTAAGAGAAAAAGAAGTATTGGTTTTGCAGTTTTACAGAGATTTATTTGTTGAATGAGAGCCAATTACTGAAGTTTTTATAACAAAAATGCTGAATGAATGTGTTTTATTTAGTGTAACATCTCTAATCATTAATAATATGTCAAAATACAGGATTTATCTTTATATACATCACCTATCTAAAAATCTATCTATATAAACCATTATAGATGTTATCATGATATTTCATAGGTAATTTAATTGTTCCTACAGAAGCAAAAATCCAGTATTAAACATTGAAAAGCCAAAGAATACAAATGATCGTGTGTAAATTCTGACTGTAAGTTGTATTTTAATTACAGAAAATGACAGGTTTTTTTTAAGATGGTTATTTTAAGTTTGTATACAATATTTCTATCTGGCTCCTCAGCTGCCAGAATATTACAGAAATTTACTTTATTATTTTTTTACATTTAGAATTATGGAAAATTGTTGTGTTTTGTGAGATTTTTTGCAGGTGCCAAGAAAGTTGCCAGAATATTCCTTTTTTATTATTAATTAGCTGTTTTCCTTCAGTGCATATATATGTTTACAGCTTTCCTTTTACAGTGTAAATATGAACTTCTATTAGATTTAGATATTAGCAGTAAGCCTGTATTCCAGAGGGAAGATGTTCAAATGTGTAAAACCAACACAGCTTCAGGGGTTTTTTTTTTCTGTTCAGGTTGTGGCCTCGGCTCCTCTCCATCACTGCAGCTACTGAACGCAGCATCCCGTTTCTATGACAACGTGCATCATCTCTGCCTCCTCATCGGCCCGAAGCGAGCATTTGAAGCTATTAGCCAACGCAGTTTAGCTGATTAACACCGTCAAACCTCCACTTTATCTGCTCCAACTTTGGGATTTTTGCAGTCGCGGTGGCCCTGGCTGCTCTTCCTCCCACAGAGCGGAGCTTTGCCAAGCAGCTCAGCATCCACCTTTGGTTCGATAAACGCCGAAAATATCCTCGAGAGGAACAAACGCCTCACTGAGCTGCACATTCACAGATCATATGGCGCATTTCTATTGTCAGATGTACACATATAAAACAACATACGTGTAAATAAAGGTGTAGAAGCAGCACACATGGTGGCTAATAAAACGAGCGTCACACTCACACTGATGCGAACCAGCGCGTCCATGATGGAGGTGAAGGTCTGTAACTCGGCTTCTGCCATCCTGCCTCGGTGCCGGCGGCTCCACAGCGACCGAACCAGCCGTTTCTCTGAGCAGGACGCCGGAGCGGGTGATCACACCGGGGTGGAGGAAGCCCTGGCCCCGGCCTGCTGCAGCTTCAGGCCGATTCTGAGCTCCGTGTGTCGGAGACGAGGCGACTCGTGGAGCGAGCAGGAGGGAGGGAGGGAGGGCTGGAGGGATGGAGGGGGGATGTGGAGGAGTCTGGAGCAGCTCGTCAGTCAGGAAACACCGAGCAGAGGCGTCCTGGGCTTATAGGAACAGATATGTTACTGACAACAATCTCCCCATAATACATATTTTTACATCAGTGAAATTATCCAGAAGCCATCATCTCATTGTTATTTACTCCTTACAAGGTGAATAAATAAACAACAGCTCGTTTTTGCCAAATAAACCTCCAGCTCGTTGTTTTCCAGCAGCTCTGTAGGATAGAAATGTCCAAATTGTGAGTGGCCCAGTTTTCCTTGTGGCCACCAGGTGGCGGTGGTGTGTGAGAAAGTCAGGAGGCTCCAGCTGCTTTCATCTGGACCAGACGGACAGAAAAAACCTGCAAATACACAGAACTGCATGTCTGCGGAAACAGCAAACATGTGACATTTTATTGTTTATTGCAACTGAAAATTAGTGACAAAAAAATTTAAATAAATAAAAATGATTACAGACAAAACGATGGAATTGCTTTTGATGTTTACTCTGTATGTGTTTGATATGTTTAACATCCTCGTGTATATCTGGACACGAGAGTGGAATCAAAGTGATTTATAGATGCGTTTTTATCTCAAAACAGCAACAACAACAAAGAAATGAGCTCTTTTGCAGTCATTCTATGTGCTATGATCTTTAAAAATTTAACCATCATCAAATCAAAACAACTCAAATCAAATCGAATTAAATCAAATGAAAACAAATAAATCAGAACCAACTAATTAAATTGAATCAAAACAAATTAATAAGTCAATACATTCAAATCAAATCGAACGGAATCAAATCAAAACAAAATAAATACGTCAAAACATTCGAATCTACGCGGATAAATCAAAACAAAACAAATACATCAAATAATAATAATCAAAACAAAACAAAAGCTGTGATAACAGCGATAGCGGAACCTTTGAATGTCGGTGTTTCTCCCGGTCAGTAATCCTGGACGCACATACGCGGTGGTTGTTGTAGCAACCGTCTTTAGCGTTATAATCACAGCATCGTGAAGGCGGTTATCTGTGTTTAGAGACAGAGAAACTGAACTGTTCTAAAAAAGCGGGATGTAAAACAAATCTTTGGTTTATCCCCGTTTGTCCTGCTAGCAGTTAGCTTCCACAAATGTTGTTTTTATGCTAATTTAGGCTAAAGTTAGCCGAATTGTCAGACTGAAGCTAGCGGCTAAATTAGCATCACACGCTAACTGGACGCTGCGAGGCGCGTTTAAAAATCACAGTAAACTAGCTGGATAGCGGTACTTTTGCTGGCGCAGTTCTGGTTAAACCGGTTGTGTCGGTGTGAGCGGAGGTTCGGAGCAGCATGTCCGCTGTCAGCAGCCTCGTCCCGGCTCGGTTCCTCACCATCACCGCTCACCTGGTCATCGTCATCACCATCTTCTGGTCCAGGGTCAGTAAACACCGGAACGTTTCCACCTTGTGACCCGTTCAGTGACACGCGTTTATGGATCTAATGTCATCATTAAACACATTATTTCCTGCTATTTTTAAAAGCAAACTCTATCCTGGCTTTGAGTTGATTTTCTTTTATTTATTTGCGTATTTATTTGTACATTCGACTCCATTTTATCCGCTTTTTTTTTTATTTATTTATTTTTTTTAGAATGAAATAGAATATTATCTCTCTATTGTCACTGTATTTTACTGCTAAATTAGATTACAGTTGGTGCATGTAAATTGTTTAAAAGTACAAAAGAAATAAATACAAATATTGGAAGGCAGGAGGTAAAAATTGTACAAAATATTATTCAAAAATTATAACTATCAGGAGATGCATTTTTAAGCAGTATAGTATTGCACATGTTATGATGTGATATTGGCGCTACTCCGTACTCAGCAATGCCATTCCTGCATTGCATTTAAGCAGCAAAACTGAGAACTTCCTACATTCATCCACTTTTCACGCCAGTAAAAATATGATTATTCTCCAAAAGAAACAGTATTTGGACTGTTTTGGTGCTGATTCATCCTAAACATGACCGCTTTGTTCCCAGAGATTTCGCTGTAGAAGCTGTGAATCTTTGCAGAAAAGTGTTCAGGTTAATAAGGCCAAATATGATCGACTCGTCCAATGACTTAAATAATTAACGACATTAAGGCTGCCGAGCCACCTGAGTAATTTATGCACCGCCTCAGTGTGGAGACGAGTCCTGCTGCTGGGTGATGCTACAGCTGTTTGATAAAGTCAAATAGAAGACGTTTGTTTGTTCACACGGAGTCTGAAAGCAGCTTTCAATAGTTGCATTAGTATATTAGTATATACATTTGATCTGCTGCTGACACCAACTCATCGTGTTTGTTTTACAGGAAAATAACGTGAAGGCTTGTTTGCCTTTAGATTACACACAGGAGCAGTACGACGACGAAGACAAGAAGTGAGTAAATGTTGGATAAACACACGTGACACACACTCGTATACACACCCTCTCACACGTGTCTCTGTTTTCAGGTTGGTGGTGGCGCTGGCCGTCACTCTCGGTCTGTTTGCTGTAGAACTGGCTGGTTTCTTCTCCGGGGTGTCCATGTTCAACTGCAGCCAAGGCCTCCTGTGTATCCTTCACAGCAGCACTGTCTGGCTCTCACTGAAAATATTCAAAAATAGTCCTTATTTATAGAACACTTTTCAAAATCCAAACTACAAAGAGCTTCACAGGAGCAGCAAAAATAAAACAGATGAGAGTCATGAAATCATCAAAACCTAGAAACTGTTCGATGCATAAAACTAAGAGTATTAGAAAAGGGGAAGGCATAATTAAAAGAAATAAAAGACAGTTAAAGGGAAATAAAACTAAAGTAAAATCAGGAAAAAGCTCTCTGATAAAAGCATGTTTTAAAAAGAAACTTTAAAGAGGATACAGAGTCAGTGTGCAACTAAGAGGTCAGAGATACATGAAGGGCCTGAAACCCTGTCTGAAAACATACTGAGAACCAGGAAAAAAGAGGCTTAAACTTACTGGGAACCAGTAAAAAAGAGGCTGAAACATACTGAGAGTCAGTTAAAAGAACCTAAAACACACTGGGAGCCAGTTTAAGGAGGCTAAAACATACTGGGAGCCAGTTAAAAAGAGCATAAAACATGCTGGGAGCCAGTATAAAGTGGCTAAAACATACTGGGAGCCAGTATAAAGTGGCTAAAACATACTGGGAGCCAGTTTAAAGAGGATCAAACAGTAGTGTCAGGATCACATCCTGACTCTGATTCAAAGCCTGACAGCTGAGTTCTGTTCAGTCTGGAGTCAACGAATAGATTTTTGGTTCAGGCAGGTGAAAGGCTGCAGTGATGAGATAAAGGCTGTAAAATATTCTTTAAAAGTTAAACATTTTTCTAGCATGATGAAAACATGGTTGTACAACTTTTTTTTAATGATTATGCAATAATATATGTACAGTAACAGTAAACAGAAATAGCATCCAAAGCAGTGAAGCAGTAAATATACTTTAAAGATGGCCGCCCTGTTAGCTGAACGGTTACAGAATGTGCCACTTAACCCCCCTAAATATGTAAATATATAAAAAAGCTAGAAAGGTAAGCAATATATGACTCACCAGTTACAATTCCATGACTGCAGACTCCTTTATGTTTGCGTCTCGGCCCACTATAGCCACAGGAGTCCATGCCAGTGCCTCAGTGGCTCTGCTTTTCTTTCTGTTTGAGCAGTGGGAGTGTGACATCTACTGGTGGATCCTTGCCTTCTGCAGGTCAGTGTGCACATGTCTAATACCACTAGTGTGTTCATCCAGAGGTGTTTTTCCCTGACAGATGTCTCATCCAGCTCTGGCTGTCCACTGCAGCGCCTCCGTGTCCTTGTCTTTCTTTGTGTTTGAGAAGTGGGAGTGCTGGACGTATTGGGTTGTATTTGCCACCTGCAGGTTGGTGTGTGTTGGCGTGAATGAGTTAGTTAGTTTTCAGAGAGCAAAGTTAAAGAATCTCTGTAAACAGTGACGTGTAAGTATATGCATTTCAAGTATAAAAACATTATCGCTTAAAAAAAAAAAATGCATGAGCTCTCAATAGGTTTCAAAGTAGAAACTCAGTTCAACAAAACTGACCAGGTGTGATCTCAAAACAGTCTGACTGCATGAACATGGTTCCAAAATGAGCTGTGAACAGCAGAACTTTCTCAGTTTTGGGCCTATGAGCTGTATCTATGTCTGAATCATGGCTCCAAATGGAAAAGAACTGGACAGAGGAAATGAAAAATCTGACTGTAAAACTTGGTGTGAACCTGACCGGGACCACCATAGAGGATGCATCGTCCTGACAGTGAAGCACGGAGGTGGCAGTGTCATGATATGGGGCTGCATGAGGGCAGAAGGTGTTGATGACATTTATAGATGAATGTCTGAGGATAAACCAGAATACTGGCTGACTAGATGACTCCCAGTCTGGAGACGCTGGAAGAAGAGGAATATTCCAGCAGGAGAACCTTTAATGCTACACTTACTTCTCTCGTATACTGTAAGTACAGTGGCTCTGTCTCCAGCGGTTTGCTCTACATTTCTGTCTCTGTCTCTCCCTCTAGTGTGCTGCCGGCTTTTGTGGAGATTCTTCTGTTTATAGCAGTTTTCGGAGTGAAGAAGAAGCCATATTGAACTACAGTCCTGGTGTGAAGTCTGACAAATATGTGTGGATGGGAACATATGTAGCCACAATATCAGATGTTTTTTTTTGTTTTTTTATTGCTGTACAAAAAAAAAGATCTGAGAAACACTGGTTAACACACATATGTGGATACGCTGCAGTAACACGGCAATGTAAAAATGCCATTTTTTAAATATTTTTGTATATTTTGAATAAAATAGATGCAGTAAAGCACTCATGGTGTTGTGTCTGTTTTGAACATCTTGGTCTGTTTGAAGAGTCATTTATACAAACTCCACCTTAAACTGTTTATGTGTTTCTGTCCTATTGCTGCTGAGTTCTCTGCATTTTTCTCAGTGTTTGTACAGAAACCGTCTCTGTAGGTCCAACTGGCAGACCCTTACCACAACCACGGCCCTAGTCCAGTAGTAGTGTTTTTCTGGAGTATTGCTAAAAGTTGAGTGGCAGAAAGGTAAAAAATGAACATCCATCCATTATCTCTACACCGCTTAATCCTCACTAGGGTCATGGGGGGCTGGAGCCTATCCCAGCTGACTCAGGGTGAAGGCAGGGGACACCCTGGACAGGTAACCAGTCTATCACAGGGCTACACTTAGAGACAGACAACCAAGCACACTCACATTCACACCTACGGACAATTTAGAATCACCAATTAACCTCAACATGTTTTTGGACTGTGTGGGAGGAAGCCGGAGAACCCGGAGAGAACCCACACTGCACGGGGAGAACATGGAGACTCCACACGACCTTCTAGCTGCGAGGCAACAGCGCTAACCACCGATCCACCTTGCAGCCGTAAAAAAAGAACATTATGAATGTAATTCAATAAAGATGATAAGGAAAACAAACTGATTAAGAGATGTTAAAGATTAGACAATCGTTTAATTGAAAGATTCAGACGTTCAGAACTAAACATTGCGTTTTTTTGGGGTTTTTTTACAGTTAATCCTCACATTATTCATCTCCAATGCCAACTTGTGATTTACAGTAATGTTTTTATTTGACCAGAAAGTTTCTTCTGGCTGGAAATGACATAAACATGTGACAAGGGTGACAATAATGATAAACATGAACTATTTCTATGTCTTTTTTTCTTCATTTCTACTAAAAAATGTCACATCCAAATTGACTCATGCTCCTTAAAATTGCCGCAGTTTAAGCTATTGGAAATAGTTCTGGTAATTTCTACCATGTTCTAGAGTGTTTTGATAACCTAAAAACTAAGAATCCCAAAATCTATCTGAGCACAATTTCCAAAAATCTGTGCATAAGTTATAAAGTGAGTAAAACTGAGCTTGTAAGAAAATAACTCAAGTCTCAACTTTAGAAGCAATAAATCAAGACTATAACCTCACTTAGTTCAGTTCACTGTCTTGTGCATTGAAAGCTTTAAATTGTTTTCTAGAAAATACTTTGCTGCAGGAGATGTTACGTCTCGTCTCCTAACAGTGATTTTGTTTTCTCACATTTAGATTCTCCAACCAACCACTCAGTGTATCTGACAGTAGTACAGGCGTGGCTTGTCTCTTTGTTTTAGAGCTTGTGTCTGATTGTTTTCACAGCCAGATTCCTAAAAACCTCAAGAATCAGGCAGAAAATACAGAAAGTAGTTTGGAAAAAACAGTCAGTTGCTTTCTTCAAATACACAAACATATATGCAGGACTCCTGATAATGTTCTGCCATCTTTTGTTCTGCAGTGTTGCTTTAACATATTAGCTGCTTGCTACCTGCTTTGCTTGAACGTTGCTTACTTGTGGATTTTAGTGATTGGTGTATTCAGTTCAGAGACTTACCAGCGATTTCCCATCTCCAGAAACCTTCAAACCTCTGGTCTTACAAACACATGTAAGTCCCCCGACACTCACTCATCACCTCCTAACACGGAGGTATGTAAGCTGCGCCAGACTGTATACCTCGGAGCAAACACACTTATATAATATCCGCACATTCCTAAACACAAACATAAGGCTGCTGCCTCAGCTGAACGTTCAACAGGGATTTATGGGTGAAACAATCAGACATGAACTCATCAATAATCGGAGACATTTTACTGGCATCGAAAGAAGTTTTCTACACTAAACTGGTTCCATGTGTTCCAGAAGTAAGTCGTCGCAGAGCGTGTGGAACGACAGCGACATGCAGCTTCCAGACTTCCAGTTAAATATACGGCTGACTTTAAGACCCCACTGATGCCTACGAGTGTCTGAATGGTCTGGGCCCAAAATATATCTGAGATACGGTGCCTATAAAAAGTTTTCCCCATTTATTGCTTTTCAACATTAAGTCATGTCGGCATGGTGGTGGCAGCATCATGACGTGAAGCATGGTGGTGGCATCATGATGTGAAGCACGGTGGTGGCAGCATCATAATGTGAGGCACGGTGGTGGCAGCATCATGACGTGAAGATGTTTCTCAGCAGCAGGCTTGTTAAGGTAGAGGGTAAAATGAATGCAACAAAGTGTAGAGAAATCCTGGAGGACAACCTGATGCAGTCTGCAGGAGAACTGAGACTTGGAGAACATTTGTTTTCCAGCAAAAAAACGAGCCAAAACGACACAAAACTTGTTTAAAGACAACAAAGTGGATGTTCTGGAGGACGAGTCAGAGCCACCCCTCAATCCATCTGAGAATCTGTGTCTGGTTTAAGAAAGATCTGTTCACTCGTGATCCCTGTGTAACCTGACAGAGCTGTAGCAGATTTAAAAAGCTGAAAAATGCTGCATCAAAATTTATTGTGCTCTATTTTGTATTTTATATGTTTTAAATGTTTACCTTTGCCTGTAAAGCACTTTAAATAATCTATACATATGATGAGGAGCTTTATGCATAAATTTCTTGCTACTGAAAGAGAAATCAGACAAACAGAGGGTGAAATCTTATCAAAGGTAGTTTTTACTTTGGAATCTGTCAAACAGTGTGACAACAGATCATTCATAAAACACTGCTGTCCCTTGTATCCGCCCGTCACTTCTTGCCCTTCCTTTGGCTCGCGTTGTAACACTTCTCACAGGCCAACGAGATCCCGGCGATGAGGGGCAGAAACTCCTCAAAGTCCAGCTTGTCGTCTTTGTTCGAGTCCAAATCGTTCATGATGAAGTCGACGGTCTTTGGGTTGTTCTGGGCCTGAAACGGAGTCGAGAAGAGACAAGTTAAAGGAGAGCAACACATCCTAGAATAAAACAGACTAGAATAGGATAGAATGCTTTTATTGTCGTCACACACAAAGTGCAACGAAATTAAAAGACAACTCCAGTGGTGCAAAATACAAGTTTAAAATAAGACAAAAATATATTTACAAAAGGAGCCAGTGGGATACAGTTAGGAATGAGCATGAAAACAGCCAAATGGTAGAATAAATATAAGAACACTGTGGATGTATAATAAATATGTATCCCTGTTCAGGCTGTGGAAACTAATGTACCTTCATTGCACTTGGGTACAATGTGTTGGTGAGTCTCTTACTATTTATCACTTTGATCTTTTTAACACCTTGAAGTCCCTCTATGTCTGAGAACCTACTTGGCAATAAAACCCGATTCTGAAACATTCATCAGATGGAGGACAAACCCTTGTCCTTACTTTCAGGAAGTTGGGCAGCTCCGACTCCAGCAGCTTCTTCAGATCCTTCTTGGTGAGCGTTTTTTTGTCGCCGTCGTCTTTGGCGTACTGGTGGAAGATCACGATCAGGGACTCCATGCAGCTCTCCAACTGAGTCATGGCTGCAGAATCTGAAGGGAGAGAAGACGAGAGCTGCAGATACTCTCTCTCTCTCTCTCTCTCTTATCATTTTGTGCACAGATAAACAGAAGCAGCTGGAACTACAAAACACCTGGATGAGTTAGAATTAATTAAAACAGCCGACATTAAAGCAAACTTATTCTTCTTTTTAACCCACAGTGTCGCAATCCGGCAGCAGCAGGTAACAGCTTCATCCAAAACTAACAGGGAGGATGTGGGTGTTGGTCTAACTGGCACTCACAGCAAATTCTTTGGATGTTAAATCACTTTCTGGCTCCTAAATGGAAACTCTTATCTCATGGCTCTCACTCTGCTTATATGGAAACATTTTCTGTCTGTGTCTCTGTAAAAAAACAAAAAAACGAGGCATCCAGGGAGCAGAAATGAGGCGAAATAACTTATGGGAAGACTAACAAACCGAGGACGAGTTGCTGCTTGTCAGAGGAGGAAAATCCTCAACCCACCCGACAGCAGCATGCAGGTAACTCACACCAACTTTTAACAGATAAAAAAGCTTTTTTTGGAGTGTATCTATAAGCTTTAGGCCACTCAGAGCAATAGAAATGAAGAAACTTTGATGAATTAGAGGTTAAGATAATTAAAAATAAACTTACCAGGTCACAAAGAGGCAGAAACAGTTGGCTGAGCTTCAGTGAGAAGTGGGACTGGCTGCAAGTTGATCTAACAATTTATAGCCGAGCAGGCGACGCCCAGCCTGATGGGAGGGATGCAGGAGGGAGGAAATAACGGAGGAACAGGAGCGAATACTTTCCCTTCCCAAGCTTTCCTTCACAAATATCCCCACAGGAGATACACATAATAGCTGCTCCAAGGTCAGATTTTTAGTCCAACTTCTTCACCTTTAGTGTTACAAAACATTTCCTGGAAGATTAGTCACAAAAAAAAGGGCAGTATGTAGTTTGTGTGATGGGAACTGCTGCAGACAAGCAGGTCTGAGGCTTACTGACAGATTAAATGAGTCAATATCTGGCAGCTTCTTCTCATCTGATGTTTTTACTACATCTGTTTGTCCTGGACGTATTTGCTCAGCAACGCCCTGATCACACCGACGCGGTTCCACCTGGAAGCTCACCGTCAACTGCATCCGATCTGACAGTAAACCTTTATCCTAAACATGTGTGCCTTTACTGAGCCTGTAAACTGTACAGTTCAATAAAAATAACAGAATAAAATGTAAATATATTCAAATCTACAGTCATGCACACAAAAGACCAGACTACCAGTACATTTATTCAAAACTTTAACTGTGAAATTATGCAACAGAACATTTCTTACATGCACAACTGAAATGACTTTATGTTGATGCCATATCATAGCTTATCTGAAAAAAATGAATAAAAACAGTGGTGAAACTGAGGGCAAATATCTATAAAATAATAATAATAATAAAAATACTTTTAGCTACTTTAAATGAAGTTAAACAGTCTAATTTTAAAAACAAATTTAATAAAAAAATAAATACCTGTAAACAATAAACTTCTAATTATACTAGTTATACTTTTATTTCACAAAACTGTGAAAATGGGTAAAATTACATTAAGAAATTACTTTCTACTTTTCAATCCCTAACATGTAGCAAATATCTATAAAATGAAAATATGTTTTGCTCATTTAAACACAGTAGAAACTGAGTAATTGTACAATAATATATATATATATTAAATGCTGTAAAAGAACAAATTACCATTTATAAAAATACAGATTTTTGATGTAGACGTTACATAAAGTTGTGTATTTTTAGGGTTAATGTTACGATCCAGCCTCTAGCGTCGGCTGGACGTAACAAAAAACCAGTTGCTGTTGGTGGAGGTAAAGCAACTTATTGCTCAGTAACGTAAATGAACACAAAACAACACAAAGGAAACGAGTGGATGTTGCTAAAAAAAACTCAATGAAAATGAAACCAAACGTAAATCCAAAAGCAACAGCCACACCTAACAAAAGAAATGAAATAAGCTCGTTCCTCAAAACACGTTACAAAAAAAAAAAAAAGCACACAAGACACGACTTGCTTCTGAACTGAGCTGACAGCTGCTCACTGAAGCCACCAAGACACGAGTAGCTTTACACAAAGTTAGCAGCTGAGAGTTTGGTTGAGGCCTTTATCATACAGGTGCGTTGATTGTTGCAGGTTGACCGGCTATTTCTATATTTTTATCTTGTGTATTGGTCCTCACTGTGTGTATTTATTGTTGCACCAACCCACCAGAACAAATTCCTCGTACTGTGCAAACTATACCTGGCAATAAATCTGTTTCTGATTGTGATGGCAGGCAGCCGGGGCCGGAGCAGGCTCTCCAGCAGCTACAGCAGCCTTCCCGCCAGTCCTCTCCCAGCACAGTGCCCACAAAGGATCCACCACGATACAAAACAAACACCAGTTAATATAATAGTAATTGTAATTAATAATTGATCAGATTTATATAGCGCCTATCAAGGCACTCAGACACTTCACACTGTCAATTATTCATCCACACACACTTATTCTGGTGGTGGTAAACTATGACAGGAGCCACAGTGTCTCTGTCAGTGCCCTGGGGCAGACTGAGAGAGGCGTGGCGGCCATTCTGCCCTCCGACCACCACCTCAAACAATCCATTCATACGCATTCACACCAGGCAGGGTGGGTCAAGTGTGTTGCCCAAGGTCACGACCGTGACACACAGGTTGCAGGACGGAATCAAACCGCCGATCATTGACCGACTCGCTCTACCACCTGAGCCGCATCCGCCTTCAGTATCTCTTCTTGGATCATCCCATCAACTGTTGGTGTTTTTCCAGCTTCTCCATGTTATATTTAAGTGATTTACGCGGTTCAGGGTCAAAAATTACTCAAATTAGTGACTGGAATTGTTTTTGTTTTGCATTGAACAAATTGAAATCCATTGGAAAGCTGGGAGAAACACAGATTTAATGACTCAGAATACAAAAAAACACAAAAATATCATTATTCATAGGGTGTTACGCTTTAATATATGCACCAGTGTATTCTGTGACATGAAAACCTGAGACATTCTGGTGTTAGGTCTCTAGTTTACCCCCTAAAATTAATCATTTGGATCTTGATAAGTCTTAATCTCTAAGACAATTGGTTGCATTACCTCCAAATAACTGTTAAATCCTCATTCTGCATCAACTGTAAGCGACACCTGGTGACATTTTCAATATAAAATCACCTTTTAACGACTATAAAATCAGATCTGTGCTTTATAGTTGTACAAATAAAATCTTTCTGCCATGTAGCTGCTCGTAAACTTCACGTTGAATCTCCAACCTGAACGTGGTTTGAACAGAAGAACAACACATTTAAAGTCTTTCAAAAAAGTTTAATTACAAAATGAATTAAACAAAAAAAACACCAGCAAGTACAAGTGCTGATGAATATTCAGATGACATGACGTATGAATCTCTTCGCAACCAGTTTGTCTTTTAAAAAAGGGGGAAAAATACAGATGTGAAGGGAATGTCGAGATGTTTGTTATAAGGCTCACCAGGGATGCTTCCTCATAATGTGAATTCACTGTAAAAAGTAAAAACAAAACTCTGCCACTTTAACGTTTTAAATAAAATACCCAAACCAAAGTTTAAAAAAAGGAGCCTGAGGGAACAACCTAACGTGATGATTTAAGAAGCTATTGTAAAAAAAAAAAAAAAAACGTGTCACAGCTGTATTGCGAGGACCTTCAGCGATGATCTGACTGATGCAGCTCATCCATCAGTTCTTCCGCTTGCCTTTGCTGGCAGCTTTAGCCGGCGTGACCGCAGGAACGGCTGCCTGGTAGAGGGCGGCTGAGACTTTGTTGATGTAGTACAGAGCGAAGAGGGAGAAGATCAGGCTGGGCAGAGAGGAAGCAGAGAAACGTGTGGTTTTAGTGGAAATATCTTTAACCGTGTAACATGAAGCTGAAGCAGGCGGTTCTGTTTCTTACCACGTGGTGACGCAGACGCGATGCACAAGACCGGAGGCGAACAGCGACAGGCACAGACACAGCAGAACTGCAGGAATGAATGAGAAACGTGAGGGAAAAAAGGCCCAAATGAAATGTCAGAGCACTGATATGATGATTTTACAATAGTTAAATTACACATCGCACAAAATTTAGAATTAACTTCAATTGGAGAAAACGTGGAGTCAACATGTCCGACATTTTACTAAGTGTCTACAGGTTCTCACTCGGGATGCACAATATATCGGCGACCACATCGGTATCGGCCGATATTAGTGTTTTTCCAGCATATCGGTATTGGTCCGATGAACAAATTTAGCTGATGTGAAAAACTGATGATTGAGCACCTTCATCTCTACATTTGATATTGCTGCTATTTCACAGATGTTTTAACCTAAATGTTCCTGGACTTGAATGTTAAATATGTTAAAATATGTTTTACTTTTGTTATGTAATAATGAAGGCTATGTGGTCTAATTTGGGCTTCTTTGGAATGGCTCTCTCCAAATGCTTACTTATACTCATTTTTCGGTGTGAACAAAAATTTAATATCGACATCATTAACATCGTTTATCGGCGATATCAGAAATCTTAACACCAGATATCGGTCAGAAATTTGAATATTGTGCATCACTAGTTCTTACCAACGACATAATACAGATATTTTACTATTTATATTTGTATTTTATTTCCATACTCCTCTCTGCTCTGACTAAACACTACCTAGAGTTCAACTGAAAAGTCCCAGGATTTCTGTCACATGACTACAGAATCCCTTCAGTGCAAATTATGTATTTTTGGTGCATTCTGAAGTGATTCTGATGAAATATCACGATTTTAAAAAGAGATTTGGTTCATTTTCCCGCATGTCACATAAGATACGTTCAAGGACAATCAGAAAAATCTTAAACCTAACAATTATTTTTCCAGTTTCAAGGCCCAAGAAATACTTGTGTACTTTTGCAGATTTTTTTTTAAACAAAACATGCCTTCCAAATGGTCTAACTCCTTTTAAAAAGACGCTAGCAGGGTGAGCACACTTTACTGATCAATGACGGTGATGTTTCACAGAAAGCCGAACCGACACTTGACTCAGAAAATCATGACAGGATCATTCAAACAAAGACGCGCTGCAGACCGACTGCATGAGCTGGACTTCAGTGTTTTCATCACTTACTCTCTGGGAAGATCTTGGCTTGGAACCCCTTCCCAAAAACCAGGTTTTCCAGATTATTAAATGCCTGGAAATGAAGTTAAGGACGAGTATCTGCACATTTCGATTCCTCAGAGAAATCATGTTTAGAAGAAAAAAATTATCAACAGCTTTAAAGGTTCATTAACAAACATCTTACAGCTTAATGATTAACAGTTAAAACAGTCGATGTAAAAGGATACGGTGAGGGAGCAGATGAAGAGCACTGAGCCCAGGAAACCTCCCAGGATGGTGAGCCACTCTGTGGAGCCCAGCTGTTTGCTGAACATCTGCATCCCAGCAAACACCAGCACTGACAGCAGACTGGACAGGACCAGAGATGTGCCTGTATTCACTGCTGCAAAGGACAAAGACACACAGAAGGACAAAGGTTTAATTCCTGGACTAGTACAGGGTTGGGCTGCAGGGGTTGCAGTTGGTAGCACTGTTGCCTCGCAGCAAGAAGGTCGCCGGTTCGGTGAGGACACCCAGGATCTTTCTGCATGGAGTTTGCAAGTTCTCCCCTTGCAGTGTGGGTTCTCTCCGGGTTCTCCGGCCTCCTCCCACAAAGTCCAAAAACATGTTGAGGTTAATTGGTGATTCTAAATTGTCCATAGGTGTGAATGTGAGTGTGCTTGGTTGTCTGTCTCTAAGTGTAGCCCTGTGATAGACTGGTGACCTGTCCAGGGTGTCCCCTGCCTTCACCCTAAATCAGCTGGGATAGACTCCAGCCCCCCATGACCCTAGTGAGGATTAAGCGGTGTATAGATAATGGATGGATGGATAGTACAGGTTTGTAAGTGACACATACAGTCCAACTTCTGAAACCGGATCTTGTTAGAAATAAATACCTGCCATAAAAATATGTAGATTCATCAGAAATTATGAGAAAACGTGAGTTAAACTAGATCAAACACAACTTTAGAAAGTGAAAGAGTATTACTACAAGCCGATTTAAATCATCCACCAATGCTGTCCATCATGTTTGATAAGAGATGTTTTTAAAGCTTCTTAAAAACTCTGCCGACAGAATCACAAAATGCCTGAAGTTAGACGTAAACTAATTCTTTTCAGGAGGAAACTGAAGATGTAGCGGCGTTGTGAAAATGATATTTGCCCAGAAGACGCACCAGTTTTATCAGGTAACGTCACTTCTTAGTGTCTGCATTCAAAATGAAGAGCAGACTTTATGTGATAAAACCTTTTGAGTCTCCCAGATGAAGAATTAGATACGAGTCCTGATGTTACACACAGACTGGGTTCCAGTATCCACGTTAACATACGGTGTAGTACGTCAGAAAAAGATTTAGTATGTCCCAAATGTAGGACGCCAAAACCTACCAGGATGTCTGAGCAGCTATTTCAAAGTGTCTCGCTCAAGTACAAACAAGCTGGTGTTCATTCAGCACAACAAACCAGGACGGTCAACGTTTAAGGCGCAATCGAAAACAGGACACTTTAGATACGAGCAAAATAACAAGAATTGCTCCTCAAGAACTGTTTCACCAAGAAAGGTTCATATGAGAACACTTTAATGAGAGAGACAGCAGTTTAAACTTTATAACCAGTTAAAAACTGTCATACTTCAGTCTGGTGCAACATGAATCCACTTGAATCTGAGCATTGTGAAGATTTTGTACATTTACAACACTTTTCTAGGTGTCAAGATCAATATTATCTGTGCAATACCAACCCTAACCCTGTGCAATTTTGCCATTTACTGCATTAAAGAAAGCTATATTCTTTGTTTATTTCTTGTTATTTTACTGACTCCCTCCCTTTGCTGCTGTAACCCTGCAAGTCTCTGCTGTGGGAATAACAATACAGGCTAACATTTTATTAATTCAGTGCCAATGTATTCAAATAATGTGAAATGCTGAGAGAAGTTCGACCGTTACTACTTTTTATTTGGCTTTACTTTAGTTAGTTTTTTTTTTTTTTTTTCAATGAAGTGAATCTTTACTGTGTAACGCCACGTCAGTGTTCGTCTTCCGGCAGCGAGCTGTTAGCATCAAGCTAAACAACCGGCATTAGCAGCGGCAGAAGCTCGCAAACACAACACTCTACACACACTGGACACACACAGCAAAATCTAAAATAAATCAGCGGTGTTGTACGGTGACATTATTACTCTGAATAGATCCTACTCCACTGCTAGCAGCCACCTGAGCTAGCATCGCTTACTTCTGAACGTTAGCCCGCTAGCTTCACCACTGAGCTGCACTCTAACATCCCATAATATCTGCACATCTGCAAACCCGCATGGATGTTATGAACAAAGCAGCACATACCCATGATTAGATGTGAAATTAGAGTCCTGCTGATGAAACAGATGAATTAAGTTCGTACAGGCAGCTAACTGCTCCCCGGCTCCAGGAACCAACTAGCTCAGATGAACCCGGACACAATATCAGGTGGTACCTGAGGGCGGAACCAACGAACGTCAAAGTTCAACAGTGAAATCCAAAATTATTCATACCAATAAAAAATATTGATTTACAGCGACTTTATAATCGACTGACAGGTTTCTTCTTGCTGGAAATTATGTAAACAAGTGACAAAAGACAGTTAGACATTTTTTAAAATATGAATTTATACAAAATTGTATGTCCAAAAATTATAAATGATTACCTTTATAGTGCATTAGAACGCGCTAGAACATGGTAGAAATTATCAGGACCATTCAGAATGATATAGAAGCTGTTTGTAGCTATTTTAAGGGTATGAATAGCTTTGGATGGGTTATTTGTAGTAAAAATGTAAAAAAGAAAATAAAAAAAATACAATTAACATCTTCAACACAATGTTTTACTGTCTTCCAACACTTGTTTAAGTCATTTCCAGCCAGAATAAACCTGTTTGTTAAGAAAAAATTCACCAGAAATCACAATTTCGCACAAGGATGAACAACTTGGGGTTAAGTGTGTGTTCTGCTTTTTATATATATACACACCCTAAACAGTGGACATGATCAGAGCAGAGGTGCATCGGTGTTTTTCTCGTTTTGCACTGAGAAAAGCCTGATTTGTTTATTTGTTTGTTTAAAAGGATCCCCATTAGCCAGCACCAAGACATCAGCTAATGGGGCTAACGTATCAAAAACAAACATTACAGCCTCAAGTAAAAATAGAACAAAAAAGAACAAAAACACACAACAAGAATCATCGAAATAATAACAGAAATACATCGAAAAATACATAAAGAAGTTGCTTTTGCAGCTGAGTGACTCATTTCTGAAGGAATTTAAAAATGAAAGTCAGCTTGAATGCCACAAACTTGAAGAAATATTCATCTGTAGACACTCTTTAATAAAATAAAGCAAAAAGAATCCCTAAAACACGTTAAACAGGAGGCTGCACATCATCTCAATATTCACCACTAGATGTCAGGAAATTCCTGAAAGACATTTAGACAGTTTCTCCTGGAGTGTCTCTTTATTTCCATTTCTGCATTCATAAAAAGACTGCTTTGGTGTTGCTACGTTTAAAGCAGATTTAAACTCACAAAAACAATCTCTGCGCTATGGAAGTGGTTCTGACTGCTGCTCAGCTGGATTTGTCTGATAAATTTAATTTGTTTAAGACGATTCTAGTGGAATTTAAATGTTTATTTTCTGAGCTGATATCTGAGACTTCTGAATAATTAATCACAAAACATTCACTGTGGATCAATACGACTAAGTATCTCCTTTTAAATGTGTTTCTGCACAAAGCAAAGCCACATTTTGCACCCAGTGTTTTGAGGAGAATTTTGAAACACTCTATTATTGTGTCAAGGAAATTCCTGCCATTGTTGTGAGAATCACTGCTTTTAAGAGCAGAAGCTGTTCTGCAGGATTATATTGATTATGAATCAAACAAAGCCACAGCAGCATGCAGACTCAACGCATTGTGACAAACCAAGTACGAGCTTTCTTGGAAAACCTACAACGAAAAGCTTTCGTTTACAGACAGATTCTTTGCTGCAGTGCTCCAGATTGTGCTCCTGTTTGCTCTAATCCTCTTGAGATGTGTCTCTCTGGCTGTCAGATGCCTTTTTATTCATGAGGAGCTTCCATCTCGGCCACATTGTCGCGGTGCGGATGAGATGGTCATCACTCGGGCAGCGTTTTCCATCTCTGCAGAGGACTTCTGCAGCTTTGTTTGACTGACAGTTGGGCTCTTTGCTCACCTTCCTGACCCCTTGTACTCAATTATTCAGGTTGACCAGACAGCAAACTCAGAGTCCTGGTGGTCCTATTTCACAATTATTGAGGCCACTGTGCTCCTGGGAGCAGTCAAAGCTGTAGAAATGGCTGCACATTCTCACTGTGATATCTGCCTCGCTGCAGTTTTATAGCTGGAGGAGAAGACATTCTTGCACTTTGAGGCTTGATTCTGCAATAAAAAAATAATAATAAAAAAAAAAAACAAGAAAGAAAAGAAAATTGAATAGTCTTTTAAAGAAGAGATTTGAATTTGTTTTTTGTTTTAATTTGCAAACATTTCTGAAGATGTCACTTTGCCATTAAGTTAAAAAAAAGATGTGTGGGGTCCCTCAAGGTTCGATTTTGGGTCCATTTTTCTTTATGGTGTATATGCTGCGATTTGGGCACATTTTTTACAAAATATCAGATTCTTTTTTTCATTTTTTTGCAGACAATGCACAAACATAAAGACTCATAAAAGACATCAAACCCTGTATGAATCTAAACTTTCTCTCTTTTGCTGAAAATAAGACTGAAATCATTGGGTTTTTTTGGCCTCTTGGTCCTTTGGCTTTATACATTCAATCTTTTGTGTAAAATTTTGTGGCGATCTTCAAACAGATCACCTCAGTGGCTTTTTTTAATCAACACTTTTAGCCAAAGTGAAGGTCGATTTCTCTCCCCAACGAGAAGTTATTTATGCCTTTATCAGCACTCGCTTGGATTGTTGGGATTCTTTGTTTGTGGGTGTGAACAATCGCCTCTTTAGCGTCTGTGGCTGCTCATAAAATGTGGCTGCTCAACTTTTGATTGGAGACAGAAAATCAGTTCCACCCTCTCTCATAAGGAGTGGCTTTTAATGTTGCTGTTTGTTTTTGAGGTTTTAAATAGGCTGGTGCCACCTTGTTGAGCATAACTCTTGCCTGCGATCGACCCACAAGCGCTTCTTGTTGGCTTCAGGTAGAGCTTGACTTTATTTGTTGTTTATTTACTTTTATACAATATTTTTATTTTAAAAAATTCTATCATAAACAATATATATGATACATTTGTTTATTATAAATCTTTTATTTAATTACATTTCATAAAAAAGTATAGAATATTTTATAAAATATGGTTATTAAATAGGCAATATTTTATTCATTTATTTAATTTCTATATTTTATTTTCAAACAAATTTGTATAAAATCATATCTAATACACATGTATAGAAATATATTTTTTTTGTTTAATTTATTTTATACATTTTATTGTACATATTGTTAAGTTTATTTTTTACAGTAGTTTATAAATATACTTAGAAAAAAATGAATGTTCAATTATTTGTTCTTTTTTTTTTTTACAGAATTTATAAAACACATTTATATAAAATATACATAATTGAATATATTATTCATTTATTTATGTATGTTATTGTTTTTTTTTTATCTCTCCCTTTTTTAATTCAACTCTTGTTGTTTTTAAATGTGCTTTGTGAACAAGTTTGGCTTTGATTGATTGTAAAATTAAATCTCCAAGACGACGTGTTTGAAAAGCGAAGTTGTCTGATCCTGCCCGTTAGTGAAAACTGGCTTTAAAACATTTACCTCAAAGATATGATGGCGTGTAATGCTACCTTCTATTTTATTTTAATTTATTTTACATGTTATATATTATTTAATAAAACATTTTTACAGTAGAAAATAGATCATATTTTTTCTTATTTTTTTTCTTTTTTGTGCTTTCTCATTCAGATCCATCTTTCAGTCGTTGTGTTTCGTTGTCCTGATAGTTTAACCCTATTCAGGACTTTCATGTTGTCATACGTAGAAGGTCTTTCAGGGTCCAGAAGACCCCAAAAGTCCTCAACAGGGTTAACTGTGCATCTCTTTGGTTCAGCTCCAGTCGTCTGAATCCTTCCAATTTGCATGCCTCAGTTAAAACAAGACACGACGGTTAAACAAACATGAAGAAACGAGTCCGACGCTATTTATATTTAATAGGTGACCTTTTTAAAAATAGTGCTTCACGTTCAGACTCATCTCCAGAAGGGCAGGGCCTCTCCGCCTGTAATGCATCTCCCAGCCAGCAGAGTGTGGAAAGATGAACTTTTTTTTTTTTTTTTGTAATTAACACCACATGATACTTCGTCTCTATTTTCCTTCCCTCCCCTGCAGGGGGAATCCGATCGTATTCAATAAGCGAAAGTAATATGGCCTAAGTGAAGGCGGTGAACTGACCTATAAAGGGGACTTGGCAGGGGGCAGAGAGCAGAAGAAAATGCTGCCTTTCTGCTGCCCTGGAACACTCGAGTGGAAAAAGGAGAAAGACTTACATAACTGACCGCCGAGCAGGAAGAAGTGCGTCAGAATCAAACGTGTTCGAACACAGCCGGGTCTCTCACAGGGCGCCTCACATCCAGACTTGAGCTGCTGCTGCTGCTGGGGTTTGTTTAAGTGGGACAGCCTGTAAAGAAAAGCAAAAGGAAAGCTTTAACCGCAAAATCAAACTATTCAGCATCAAAGATGACGTGAGGCTGCATTTAGAAGTGTATGAAACATGAATCTAACACTATAAAGAAGCAAATCAACAAGTTTAGAGCTACTTCTTAACTTTTTTTTGTCATTTAAAGGTCAAACATAGCAAACTGCACATATCTGTGAACAGCATAGATATGAATTCATCCCTTTTGTGCAGTTTCCTCCAATTAAAACCACATTATTCACAATCATTTCTATGTATTTAATCACTTTTGTTGACTCTAAACATTGCACCGGAAGCCCAAAGTCGTAGGTGGACGTGGAAATATCTGCTGCAACCTTATAATGCAAAAGAAATACAAACAATATACCACTGAGGTGAAAGACGTGAAGCAAAGACACGGGTACATTTTGAAATATAAGATTATTGTGCTTTCGTAATGTGCCTTCTTATAGATGAGAAGGAAGAAAACACTCAGAAAAACACATGTAGGTGTTTGTTTTCTGTTGTTTTCATCAAAAGTTTGCATTATAAATACTGTTTGTGAAGGTTTTTACAGATGAGCATCCTTCACGGCCTCATTTATGGAACATTTTATCCCTAAAAACATGGAAAAAATAGATTTTTCTCTGGTTGTTGATGGTATTTTCTGATTTATGGCAACAAACAGAAACAAGCAAGTTCAGATTTCTGTTGTAAGTTGATGCAAATTTGCACATTTTTGCTAAAATATTACCTCATTTGTATATTTAAACATGAAACTTTAGAAAACTCCTCATACAAAAATTATTGTTTAAATGTAAATAATAAAATGGAAGAGGTTCATGATGATCTGTGTTTGTTAAAGTTGTTTGTACCCTCTTTGTTGTAGTATTTTGAGTTACACTGTTGAGGAGCGTTGTGTATCTTGCTCAAAATAATACTTTTTAAAATTCCTATGACATCTATTTAAAGTCTTGTTTGCTGACTCATGTTTTGAATGACTCATGCATGTAAGGGTTAAATGCAGCCTCATTAGTGTAGAGACAGATGTTGCCGCCTTAGAAGGCCTAATCCATCAAATACACACACCAGGAATGACACAACTGCAAATATGTTCCCTATACACAAACATAAATACAGTCTTTTACTATTTCTGGAGGTCTGTGTGGAGAGTTGGTGGGTGAAGGGTGGAGTCGGGCGCATTTCGAGGGCATGAATCACTGCTAGTGTGTGTGTGTGTGTGTGTGTGTGTGTGTGTGTGTGTGTGTGTGTGTGTGTGTGCATGAGTGTGTGTCTGCTCTTTAAGAGGAGGTTCCCCCCTCGGCCCGACATCAGTCTGACACCACCGGAGAAGCAGCAGCCGCCGACTCGGACGTGATCTCTCCTCACCTGGAACCCGAACTCTCAGGTGAGCGCTGATGGGAAGCAGAGTTTATTGGGTGGGGGAGGGGGAGAAAACGTGAGATTTTTTTTTTTTGTTGCAGAAATTGAGTGCAGGAAAGTCTGACTGATGCAACAGAGGAGACAGAATGTGTAACGTTTTTGTAAATGGAAAACTTGAAAGCATTTCACAGCGTCTGCTGTGACTTCAATCAAGTCGACTGCAGCCCAGAGGAGCAAATCTGACGTTAACATCCTATGTGTTCAAACGTTACTGTTGTAAATGATGTCTTAAAATACTTGTTTTCTGTTCAGGCTGTTTGTTTAAAAGTTATTTTCTCCTGCTGCTCATTTGTATATTTAAACATAACACTTTGCATTCATAAATTAATGCAGAATAACTGACAGAAGTTAAAACTGACTAAAAAAGGTTCAAATTGACCAAAAAAAAAGATGCAAAGTTAACAGAAAAAATTGCAAAGACACACAAAATTATCAGAGAGATGTTCAAACTGACGAAAAAACTACTTTTGTTTTCTCCTGCTTCTCTGTTAGTTACTCACAGTCAATCAGCAGTGGCTATGGAAGCCCGAAGCAGACTTTATTTAACCCCTTAAGACTGAGCTCTTGTTTGATATGCATTTTTAAAAATAAATAAATAAATACAAAATGTAAAGAAAATAAAAATATATTTTCAAATATGTAGAAAATATTTTTTAAAATTCTAAATACAGTAATAATAATAATTTAAAAATAAAAATAACAGTAAAATTCAAATAAATTAACCACTGTGTTAATATAACCCAAATGTGTCCACACCAGGTCTTAAGAGGTTGAAAGAAAATTTTAAATATTTCACTTTAATATTACTATTTTTCAACCTATACATGTTTGATTTGAGTAAAGATTAAAATAATGATGCTTTTCGGCAAGTTTTCATTTTTAAATTTGCAGGAACATCTGTCTGGCACACATGATAGGGACCTAATCCCACCACTTAATTTAGCGCATGGTTGCAAGATTTAAAAAATCTAATACACTGATTTTGATCAACTTTTTAAGCTGCAAACATTATTTCCATAGGCTGTATCTACAGAATAATGTTGCCTCAACTTAACAATAAGTGTAATTTAAACTCAAACTCCTGCATATGTTGATTTAAAACTCAAATTACTTTGATGTAACTTGATAAAATCGTCTTGATAACTTGATTTTTCTGCAGCTTGAGTTCACATCTGGACAATTTCAGATGTTAAAACTGTTGATTATAAATATCTTTGATTGAAAAGGAAAAGCTCATTTCACTGACTCAATATCGTTTATTGGTTTGAAAGTTGTTTAACTCAAAAAGATTGATGCAAACTGTTGAATCCAAACAGTATTTGTGTGCAAGACTTCTAAGTTCCCTCTAAGTGTTATATTTAAGTACAATTCTGAGATACTTGTGCTTCATTTCAGTACTTTATACTTCTATCTTGTTGCAGTTCAGACACTCCAGTGCATATATTACAAAATTTTAGATGTTATTAACTTTGCAGATGTGGTTTAATAATAGAGGTCGATCTATCTGATTATCAGATGCAATATCAAACAGTTTTTCGATGACCTTTATTGGTATTTTTGAATCAATTCTCAATAAAATAAATGAGTTAAAGATACCATCCGATTGGTTAGGCGTCACAAACAACAGCCAATCAACGTGGAAGGATACATGTTTGAAAGTTCTGTTTCAATTAGACAAAAGTTTTGTGTTGAAGTTTGTGTTTTTCTCATTTTTGTGACTTTCATTTTTACTGCAAACGTAAATATATTGATTATAAATATCAGTTATTGGTTTCATCGATTACCATTTGTCTCTATTGACCCTGAAAACATAGAAAAAAAGACTAAATATATTCAACAGATAGATTATGATGTAATATTGTACATTAACATTAAAGTGATGAATACATGAATGCATTAATAATTACAAATCTTTTACTTTTGATGCTATATTTTGATGCTCATACTTTTGTACTTTTGCACAAGTATAACTTTAAATGCACGACTTTAACTCATCAAACAGTATTTCCACACTGTGATACTGGTACTTAAATAACTTATATTGTTATATTGGATGCAAAACAACCACAAAGAGATTCAGACGATTAAAAAGAACCCACAGAAATGAAAATGAACAAATGCAAAATAACTGCAAATACACCCAAAATGAGCAGAAACAGGTTTGAAATTATTTTAAAAAGATGCAAAATGACCAGAAAGCTGTTAAAATTGAATCCCAAAAAGCAAAATGAACACAAACAAATGCAAAATAACTGCAAAAAACACAGAAAATTAGCACCAAGAAGTTAAAATTGACAAAAAAAAGCAAAATAAACACAAATGAATGCAAAATAAGTGAAAATACACAAAAAATAAGCTGGAAGAGGTTTAAAATGATTTTTAAAAAGAATCAAAATGAACTGCAAAGACATGCAAAATGAGCTGACTGAGGTTTAAATGGATTAAAAGACAAATGCAAAGTAAGCACAGACAAATGCGAACTAAGTGCAGACACACAAAGTTACCGAAAAGAGGTTCAAATTGACAAAAAAAAAGCAAAGTGAACACAAAAAATTGCAAAACAACTGCAAAGACACACAAAATGATCACTAAAAAGTTCAAATTGACCAAAATAAATTCAAAATGAACACAAATGAAAGCAGAATAACTGCAAATACATAAAATGATCAGAAAGAGGTTTAAAATGACCTAAAAATATGCAAAAATGAAACGCAAAGACATGCAAAATGACCAGAAAGATGTCCAAATAAACTAAAAAATATGCAAAATGAACATAAATAAATGCAAAATAACTGCAAAAACACACAACATGACCCCAGAGAGAGGTTCAAATTGACTAAAAACATTCAATATGAACAGAATTAAATGCAAAATAACTGCAAAGACACAAAAAATGAGTAGTAGGAGGTTCAAGATGACTCAAAAACTACTTTTTTACTGAGGTACAACGTCTGATTACTTTCTCCATCCGTGCCGATAACAATCTGTTGGTGCAGCTTCCACCATGGCTCGCCTGGACTCCGTCATCACCAACATCGTGGACATATTCATGGAGTACGCCGACGAGGAAGGCAAAGGCAAGAAGCACCAGCTGAGCAAAGACGAGCTCAAGATGTTGCTGGACCAAGAGATCCAAAGCCCGGAGTTGAAAGTACGTCGACATCATGCAGCTGCTTGCGTTTGTGTTGCAATGCTATTGTTTAACCCCACCATCGTCTCCTGCAGGGTAAAATCAACACGGACGACATCGAGCAGGCCTTGGAGATGCTGGACAAGAACCACGACGGCGAGGTCAACTTCCGCGAGTTCTGTCGATGCATCTGTGACCTGGCCAAGTGCTACTACCACAAGAAGACGGGCCGCGGGGGCAAGAAGGGGAAGGGGAAGGAGCAAGAGGGCGAAGCAGCAGATTGAAGAAGAAAAGAAACCCCTGAAGTGATTTAAAACTCTTTAAAGTAGATGTCACTGGTAGTAGGCCACTGTGCTTTAAACATCATATTTATCATCTCTGTCTTTCTGTAAACTGGTTTTCGGAGCAGTTTCCTCGCACGCCACGCTCGAAATAAAGAAAAAGCTGAAGCGCCGTGGGCTCCCTGGTCTGTTTTACGGCCAATCAGTGCTGCGTGCCGAGGTGTCTGGTGTCATGTCAGGAAACAAGCGTGGGCTCATCAAACATTCAGCAGGCGTCACTCACTCGGCTCTCCGGTGCACATATCGCTGTCAGGCCGTCCTCGGTGGAGACGGCCGCTCCATTGTTCCCGCCGCTTATTAGCCCAAAGTTTGGCAGATCGTTTTTATGTCATTAGCGGAGGCGTCCTCGGCATCCCGACACGTCTGGGGCTCAGCCAGGTGCATAAATCTGTCAATTAAAGCCTGAGAAAAAAAAAANCAAAATGAGCTGACTGAGGTTTAAATGGATTAAAAGACAAATGCAAAGTAAGCACAGACAAATGCGAACTAAGTGCAGACACACAAAGTTACCAAAAAGAGGTTCAAATTGACTAAAAAAAAGCAAAATGAACATAAAAAATTGCAGAACAACTGCAAAGACACACAAAATGATCACTAAAAAGTTCAAATTGACCAAAACAAATTCAAAATGAACACAAATGAAAGCAGAATAACTGCAGATACATAAAATGACCAGAAAGAGGTTCAAAATGACTAAAAAATATGCAAAAATGAACATAAATAAATGCAAAATAACTGCAAAAACACACAACATGACCCCAGAGAGAGGTTCAAATTGACTAAAAACATTCAATATGAACAGAATTAAATGCAAAATAACTGCAAAGACACAAAAAATGAGTAGTAGGAGGTTCAAGATGACTCAAAAACTACTTTTTTACTGAGGTACAACGTCTGATTACTTTCTCCATCCGCGCCAATAACAATCTGTTGGTGCAGCTTCCACCATGGCTCGCCTGGACTCCGTCATCACCAACATCGTGGACATATTCATGGAGTACGCCGACGAGGAAGGCAAAGGCAAGAAGCACCAGCTGAGCAAAGACGAGCTCAAGATGTTGCTGGACCAAGAGATCCAAAGCCCGGAGTTGAAAGTACGTCGACATCATGCAGCTGCTTGCGTTTGTGTTGCAATGCTATTGTTTAACCCCACCATCGTCTCCTGCAGGGTAAAATCAACACGGACGACATCGAGCAGGCCTTGGAGATGCTGGACAAGAACCACGACGGCGAGGTCAACTTCCGCGAGTTCTGTCGATGCATCTGTGACCTGGCCAAGTGCTACTACCACAAGAAGACGGGCCGCGGGGGCAAGAAGGGGAAGGGGAAGGAGCAAGAGGGCGAAGCAGCAGATTGAAGAAGAAAAGAAACCCCTGAAGTGATTTAAAACTCTTTAAAGTAGATGTCACTGGTAGTAGGCCACTGTGGTTTAAACATCATATTTATCATCTCTGTCTTTCTGTAAACTGGTTTTCGGAGCAGTTTCCTCGCACGCCACGCTCGAAATAAAGAAAAAGCTGAAGCGCCGTGGGCTCCCTGGTCTGTTTTACGGCCAATCAGTGCTGCGTGCCGAGGTGTCTGGTGTCATGTCAGGAAACAAGCGTGGGCTCATCAAACATTCAGCAGGCGTCACTCACTCGGCTCTCCGGTGCACATATCGCTGTCAGGCCGTCCTCGGTGGAGACGGCCGCTCCATTGTTCCCGCCGCTTATTAGCCCAAAGTTTGGCAGATCGTTTTTATGTCATTAGCGGAGGCGTCCTCGGCATCCCGACACGTCTGGGGCTCAGCCAGGTGCATAAATCTGTCAATTAAAGCCTGAGAAAAAAAAAACAAAAAACAGGCAGCTCTCACATTGTTTCATGTTGATGAAACAGTGAGGATAGTCGGACCAGTGGTTCTCAAGCTGTGTGCCTTGAAATTAATCTAATTTAGACGATTTACGGATAAATGAGATGCAAAAATGTGGCTTGGGAATTCTTGTTTTCATCAAGTTTCATTCAAATAGTACAAGAATTAGAGCAAATCACAGAAACCTTCATTAAACAGTAAAATGTGTTTTCATCTCTACCTGCTCAGAGAAGTCATAGTTCATGTATTTTATAGGAAGCATCCGTAATTTCTGCAGACATCCTGCTGTGACAATCAACTTGGCAGGAAATATAGTTTAAAAAATGACTTTAGTGAACAGATCAGACTTTTATGAACACTTATTACAATTTATGTTTATTATTATACTATTTTTAATACAGATGACAGATGAATACATTAAGGGCTATTGTATTACATTTGTAAAACATAAAATAAAATAAAATAAAAATAAAAATCAGGCAGGCCTAACAACCCCACTGATTAATAACAATGATAATAATAATAAAAAATGGAGTCTCTTTTTTCACATTATTTTTTCTGAACTGCATTTGTGAATAAATGTGTCACAGTTTAAGCC